GGCCAGAACCTCTTGGGTAGGCCGGACTGGTTCATGAGGGCGCGAACCTTCGTCATGAGAGTGCGGTTGACTCTCTCTGCGACGCCTTGTTGCTGGTGATCGTAGGGGAGTGAGATGTGGTGCTTGATCCCCTTCTCCGCGAGAAGACCTTCTAGCTCATGGCTGCGAAATTCCTTGGCGCCGTCGGTCCGCCAGATTTTCAGCTTCTTTCCCGATTGCCGATGCGCGTGTGCGAGCCAGATGCGACAAATCTCAGGAGCCTTGGAGCGGACGTCGACGTTGGTGACCCAGACGTGTCGTGAGTACGCGTCCACAAAGGTGAGGGTGTTGTTCTCAGCATTGATTCCTTCACAGGTGATCAAGATGTAGTCACTGTAGACCTTCTGCAGCTTTTTGTAGCGATTGGTACTCGGCTCCAGTGAGGGGTAGGCTTGGTGTGTAAGAGCAGCAGTGGGGCAGACGGTGCAGGTGGTTGGGTGTGATGTGCTGAGTGGTTCCATGCCATCGGGGCGTAGCAGGGCTCCTGGCAGGAAAACTTTGGCGCGGATGCAGTTGTTGAACGTCTGGAGCGAGGGATGGCCGAGTCGCTGATGCCAGAGATCATCTTCTGCGCGGACTCCACGGGTGCGCAGGTAACGTGCGTGATATGTGGATGCCTCTGCTTGTGTTTCGTGCGGGATTTCAAGCACGGGTCCTTCTTCCTCTCCTGGTTCTGCTTCGTCTTCCTCCTCCTCTGCTTCTGGTTTGGCTGCTGTCTGCCCGTCTGCAGGTGCTGTTGTGAGATAGAGCGCGAGGAAGTTGCGATCGGGGATTGTGGTAAGCGGAGTCCTGGTGCCCTCGATGAAGCGTGCGAATGGATCTGGGCGCGAGATTGGTCCAAGTGAGTCGCGAGGCGGGGTTGATGGTACGTTCCCCTCCTCAATCGTAGACCAGGTCCAATTCCAGTTGTAAGGTGATGGCGGCGGAGATGGACGTCTGTGTGATGGAGGTCGTCCGAGAGGAACTATGACTCGTGGGGGTGGTTGCTCTGCTGCACGCTCGGCAACAATCTCTCTCTCCATCTCCTCCAATTCTTCTCGGGTAGGTGGCGCATCTGAGTAGTCATAGTTGCCCCATCCGGTGCTGGTACCCCAGCCTCCTCCGCCAGTTGCTCCAACAACACCCCAGCCGCCTGTGGTGCCAGATGCACCTGTTGCTGATGCCCACGTTCCTCCGGTATCTCCCCATCCTCCTCTCCGGGCTCCATCCTGCAGCGAGTCGCTCTTGGTACAGGCGTTCCTTCTCTTTTGCTTCAGCTTTCTCTTCCTCTTCCTTTACGCTGAGCTCCTCGGGCTTGTCTGGATCTTTCCACTCCTTGTCGATGGTGCGGCAGACGTCGCGGGGGTAAGGGCGCGGCTGATTCTCCTCATCGAACTTTCCGACCGTGGCTTCCTCCAGGGTCCAGCAGAGAGTTTCAGCTGCGGGTGTTGGCAACTCCTGTTCTTGCATGCCGAGCTCTTTATTCTTGGTGCCGAAGACGTGGTGAGTGGTTACCGCCAGCTCCATTTCTGTCATGCCTTCAGGTTCGGTTTCGGCGCTTTCCGCTTCTTGAATTGCTGCGTAATCTTTCTCAACTTCTTCGGTGCGGCTCGCCGTGGGCGTGAAGCAGGTGGTGTAGAGCCGGTCTGGTCCGGGTTGGTGCAGATTTATCTCGTGGGGGTTAGGAGTGCGGCGGATCTAGGGACGTCCATCCGGATGCTGCCAAGACTCTACATTCGTGCGGGAGAAAATATCTGGAACGAGATCCACGAGTTCGTCCGACGATGCTCTGCAGTCAGGTATGTCGAAGTCGAGCACGTAAACTTCGTCGATTGAACGTGATCTTCCGAGGTATTTGTGTGTTTCGACGGGGGTATCAAGGGGAGCGTAGGTGAGAATGAGGTCGCGGGTGAGAGGGTCGGTGGTGAAGGTGACTCCGCAGTCAGAGAGTTGTGCCGCGGACATCAAGTTAAAGCGTAAGTCCAGCACGTAGAGCACGTCGTTGAAGGTGATGTGCGTATTGCTATCTCGTGCTTGGAGCACGACGATGCCTTGCGCGTTTGCGCGCAGCTCTTCGTTGTTGGCGACAGTGACGTAGGTGGCGGGAGCGCGGTTGATGTTCGAGATGTAACGAACGGATCCCACCATGTGCTGGCCGCAACAACTGTCCAAATACCAGGTGTTGTGGGCGCGGTTGTTGTTGCGGAGAAGCAGTGCGAGCCGTGGAGTAACAATAGTCGTCTGGTATCTTCTGTAAAGGGATTGTTGTAACCCTCTTCAGGTTGGATTAGCGCGCCGGTAGGCTCGTCCTCTTCGTCCGACGAAGTAGCTCGTGGGCGACGTCTTGTCGCCATGTTCGCGATTACGTTTCTGGTAGCTCCCGTTTGGGGTGCCTGCTGCTGCTGATGTTGTTGAGCAGGGGGACGAGGAGCTTGGTGTTGAGGCTGAGAATTGCGGGCGTCTTGTCGGCCAGCCCAGTTCTTCTGGTGAAAGGGGTTATGGGGGCGATTGTTGAACCGGTACCTGCATCGGTCCGTTGAGTGTCCAAATATCTTGCATATTTTGCAGTAGTGGCGCCTCGGTTGTCGTCGCTCTTCTTGATTGTCGCCGTAGAAGGCGAGCTGGTTCCGTCGTGGCGCGGAGTTGGACTTGATTGAGTCCATGTCTTGCTGCTCTGTCAGAAGAGCGGCGTACAAGGCGGCTTCTGAGATTGTCCCCCTTTGTTGGAGCAGCGCTTTGCAGTGCTTCCACTCGGGCCCGAGTCCTTGAAGGACTATGTTGACGAAGATTTCCTCCGAAATTGCGCTTCCATGCTTCGTGATTTGATCACGGATGTTCCGACAGCGATTGATGTATGAATTCGCTTTCTCCCCGTTCCCCATCTTTGTCTCCATAAGTTGTTGCAGGAGCCTGCTCGAGGTGACTGAGCCCTTCGGCTAATATACCTCAACAAGGTGCTTCCAGGCTTCCAAGGCTGGAGCGGCGCTCTCTTTGTAGGAGCGGATGACGAGTTGCTCCGCGGGCGTCATGTTCCTTAGCAGCACGCTGTACGCCATGAGGGACTCGCAGTAGTATTGAGCCCGGGCGTCTTCGGTGTCTTCCACTGGTTTATGATAGGAGCCGTCGAAGTAATGGTAGATCTACGCTCAAAACTCCATGTATAGAAGTCCTTGCCGTTGAACGCGGCAGTAGTCTTGATTTTGGAGACGCTGAGAAAGCGTGCTTGCGCAGAGTTAATGACTTCATCACTTGGACGGGGGGCTGTTGGTGTTGATTTGTCTGTGTCGAGGGAGAAGGTGTGCGTGGCGGTATCTCGGCTGTTTGTGGCCGGTTGAGTGGGTTGTGCTGGTTGCGAGGGGGTTCTCGCGTCGCCTTTGCGCAGTGCTTGGAGATATTTCTCCATGGTTGATAGTCGCGAAAACAACTGCTCGAGCGCAGCTGTACTTATCGTGGTTGTCGCCTCATTTGTCGCAGCCGGGTTGGCTTGTCCTTCGGCCGTCAGATTCGTTTGGCCTCTGGATCCTCCGGCCAACTTGGTCTTGGAGCGTGTGTCGCTCGCCATATCTTGGTTCGACGAATTTTACGGAAGTGTTGTTGCGAAGAATCCCTGAGTAACTCTGATACCATGTTACAATCATAAACAGGACTTATCGAAGGACCATCTCCGGGTTGATCACATATAGTGGTTGTTGCAGCGGAAGTATTGACCTCAGGTCAGAGTGAATGTAAATGACTGAGATAATAAAAACATGCATACATCGGGTTTATATATAGAATACAGGGAATACGAAACGACCTATACTAGCCATGTACTCTAAGGGGTACATTCCCTTATTACAGCGAAGTTCAACCGTGCGGCGCGGGAAGCCGTTTCAAACATGTTTACGCTCTTTTCACTTCAAATGCATCTGCCTGCATCGGTCTTGATCTGACGGTTGCTGGTGTCGCTTCGACACTTCTGACTCCTCGAGTTCGTACTCGGTAGAGTCGGCTCCTGCAGCATACAGGAATGCCTTACTCATTTTTCATATCGTAACAGCCCGCGAACCATCGAGGTTTTAGAACTCAGGAATAATCACAGGCGTTTTTGGGACACCCAACCAGCATTAGGAAGGATGAACCATTTTTTGCCTTCTTGACCCTCGGGTTTCAATAGTGACTGATTACGTGACCGACTTATCAAACACGTGAAAACACCCTTTTCAGTGACAGTACGCAAGTTGTTTTTACCAAACAAATTATTGATGCCCTTGTCTTACTTTGTGTCAGACGAAAATATCTGTATCAAGGCCAACCCCCCCCCCCCCCCCCCCAACACCCCAATTCCTCTCTGCCCAGCTACTCACCCAGTTCTAGCTTCCCCGCAAGTTCCTCCCGCATCTCTCAAATCTCTCAACACCCCCCGGGTCACCCTCGCACGCAGCCCAATACATCCCCCTCATCCCCCTCCCGCAAGTTCCTCCCGCCTCTCGCAGCCCAACAAATCCCCCGTGTAGGTTGAGCCTCCGTGAGAAATAATATTTGGAAAAAGGAGAACAACAAGAATGGAACCTGAGTCATTTGCGTGAGCGCATAAATGGAACCTGAGTGAATTGCGTGAACGCATCTGCGGTGCGATAAGTCAACTTTACCTGACTTTGCTCCTGAGATGTTTTCAGGGTCCCTTCAGATAGCCGGCTATTGAACGAGACCCGCGAAAGCCTCTATCAGTCCCCGGCCCAGGTTCCTGGACAATTGTCTGCGACTCGTTCGAGTTTTCCAATCACGCAATCACCACCGACCCCTTATCCTTTCCCCACTCCCACCGCTTTCCCTATCTCCAGGCACTGAGGCGAGGAGCAGGCATTCAGGTACAAAGGCAACGAGGCAACTCATTTTTATCAGAAAACCCAAGCTCAGTCCTGGGTATCCATTATAGCAGTAAGTCAAAACTTGCTTCTTGATCAGTTCATTTCAGAGTAGTCCCGAGCCAGTCCTCCACAATGGCGCGTCTGGCTTTCCTCGCCGCATCCCTGTCAGTGCTGCTGGTGTTGGCTTCTGCTGATAAGCCAACCGTCATGCCAGGGCCCAGCAACCCGCCAGTCAACGTCGACCAAGCTAAGGGCGACAATGGCGTCATGACTAACGTCCCTGCTAGCGTCGAAGCGGCGGCTGCTGCGGGCAAGCTCGACAGCTTGAAGGGCCAGACGATCGTGAGCACGACCACCGACAGTATTCTCATGGTGGACGTGAAATCGGCCGGATGGAACAAAATGAAGTGCAAGTTGGGTGCCCCGGGCATGGCCGACGCCGGGGGAGGCGCGTGCACTGTTAAGAACTGCTCCTTCGGCGGCATCCCCGCCAAGTGGAAGACGTCAAACCTGCTCAAGAACAAGCTGGGTGTGGAGGTGTACGTGAAGGGCAACCCCTGCACTGTTAAGAAGGCGTCCGCCCAGACGTGCTGCAACTCGTGCGCGGGCTTCAGCGGCTGCACGTACTGGCAGTACGTTCCCGATATCACGATCGACGGCAAGAAGTCCGACGGCGCGTGCTACATGGTGCACGACAACATCGACTTCACGTGCGGCGAGCTGACGGCGCAGTACGCGACCGACTCGAAGCCCGTCCCGCTGCAGGTGCGCACCGGCGGCGAGTGCAACCCCTCGGGGAAAATCGTGAACGACCCGCATCTGGTGGGCGCGTACGGGACGCACTTCGACTTCAACGGGCGCCCCGACAAGGCGTTCTGCCTGCTGGCCGACAAGGACCTTCACGTCAACATGCTGCTGCGCGGGTACTACTCTGACGACACGGAGAACGCCGCGCTCGTCGTTGACGGCAAGGCCGTGCACACGTGGATCAAGGAGCTCGGCATCATCTGGTTCGCCAACGGCGCCGACCACAAGGTGCGTCTGGCGGCGCGCGGCGGCAAGCAGCAGGAGCGCGGCGATGGGTTCATGAAGACGATCGAGATCGACGGCGAGGAGATGCCGAGGATGAGCGTCGGCGACGCGGTGACGACCGAGGGCGGTCTGACTCTGCGATTTGTGGCCCTGGAGAAGGAGGGTCCCTATGACGTGGACTACTACACGCTCGTCATCGACGGCCTCGTGGGTCTCGACCTGCGCCTGCGCGTCGCCAACCCCAAGCTGCAGACTCCTAGCGACGCCGAGGCGCACATCAATGTCGGGATTGTCGAGCTGGAGCACACCGACGACGTGCACGGCGTGCTCGGTCAGACCTACCGCCCCGAGCACGCGGCTCGCGCCGCCAACTTCCAGAAGATGATCGCGACCCTGCACCGTCCGATCTCCGCGGAGAGCGACGAGGGCGCTGGGTTCCTTGACGGCACTCCCCGCATGTACGAGTCGAGCTCCGTGCTGTCCGTGGACTGCGGGTTCACGGAGTACCACCGCGCCAAGCAGCTGAGCCCCGTGCAGCAGTACGAGATGGAGCCCCTCAACTAGACGCTCCATTCGCAAACTGGTGGGCTGATTTATTTGGAGGGCTTTTTTCGGTGGGCTGTTTTGGTGGGCTGAGTTGTGTGCAGAATACCTGTGCATTTGTATTGTAGGTGGGCTGGTTTAGCTTTGAATCTGTTAGCATTATTAATTGAAGTTTTAAAACCCGCAGCCTGAATTACAAAAAAAGTTGGGAGGTGTTAACACTTTCCCTCCCGAACCAGGGTGGTTACCAGTTGTGCACGGGCAAAACGTGATGAAGTCGCATGCAGCTCACGGAAGTGTCGCTCGGTTCCTGCGCAACCACTCTGGCCTTGGTGTGCACACCAAACTGGAAACCTGTAATTCAGGTCGATAAAAACTGCCTAGTCCGATCAGCACCAGCGGCAGCCATAGCTTAGAACAGCTAGGCTCCAACCTCATTCCAGCCCCATGCCTCATAGATCAGCCTTACTCGTTAGGACTAATACTCCATTCCTTAGGTGCCAGAGATATAACTTTCTGTCCGCGTTTCTAAGGTGAATCGCCCTACTTCGTCGCATTCGCTTCTTCTCCCCGTAGTCCACACTCCGTCCCCTTCCGTCCCACACACGCACTCCCCTCCATCGCTCACGCTTCCTCGCGACAACGAGCACGCTCCCTCCCCTCCCGTCTCCTTTGCGCTCGCTCCATTGTCGCACACGCGCGCTCTGTTTTCTCGCGGATTACAATTCCCTCCCGTCGCCCACGCGGGAGCGCCGAGACCGATTACGCACACTCCCTTCCGTCACCCACGCTCACTTCGCTCCCGCCGCAGACGCGCACTCCCTTCCGTCGCCCCCGCGCACTCCGTCAGTTACCTCGGCCCACGCGCACTCCCTTCCGTTGCCCACTCTCAAGACCTTCCCGTCGCCCACGCTCACACCCTTCCCATCGCCTACGCGCAATCGTTCAGTCGCCCACTCTCAATCACTTCCCTCGCCCACGCTCGCTCCCTTCCCGTCGCCCACGCTCACTCCCTTTCCATCGCCTTCGCGCAATCCTTACATCGCACACGCTCACCCCCGCTCGTCGCACACGGCCAATTCCCTCTCGTCGCACGCTGCCGCCCGCGCCGCGCTCTCCCTTTCAATCTCCTCCCGCCGTCCACGCGCACTCCCTCCCGGCGCGCGAGACGACTCCCCGTCCGCCGCCCACGCTCACTCCCTCCCGCCGTGACGGTCCCCTCCGTCGCACATGCTCACTCCCCTCCGTCGCCCACGCCCACTCCTTATGGTCGCACTCACTCCTCCCCGTCGCCCACTCATTCCCCTCCGTATCCCTCGCTCACTCCCCTTCCGCCGCCCACGCTCGCTCCCTCCCGTCGCGTTCGGCCCCATCCGTCGCCCACGCTCACTCCACTGCCGTCACACACGCACGCACCCTCCCCTCGACGGAGAGGGGGTGCTCCGCTTCCCTCGCATATGCGTTCATCTCCCCATCCCTCATCTCCCCATCCCTCATCTCCCCATCCCTCATCTTCCCATCCCTCATCTCCCCATCCCTCATCTCCCCGTCCCTCATCTCCCCGTCCCTCATCTCCCCATCCCTCATCTCCCCGTCCCTCATCTCCCCGTCCCTCATCTCCCCGTCCCTCATCTCCCCGTCCCTCATCTCCCCGTCCCTCATCTCCCCGTCCCTCATCTCCCCGTCCCTCATCTCCCCATCCCTCACCCCCCCATCCCTCATCTCCCCATCCCTCACCTCTCCGGTCTTCCTCTCCCTCTCCCCTCTCCTCTCATTCCTTACCCTTCTCCCTCTCCTCTCCCTCCTCCCTTTCCACTCGCCCCGCCACTCCCGCCGTGCTTCTCCCTCCCCCCATTCCGCCTCGCCCCATTCCGCCCCACCCCATTCCGCCCCATCCCATTCCGCCTGACCTCATTCCGCCCCACCCCATTCCGCCTCACCCCATTCCTCCTCTCCCCGTCCCCTCCTCACTTTACCCCCCTCTTCTCCCCTTCCCCACCTCATCCCATCTCCTCCTCTTTCGTCCACCCCTCCTCACCCCATCTCCTCCTCTTTCCATCCAGGCCTCCTCACCCCATTCCGCCTCACCCCATTCCGCCTCCCGTCCTCTCCCCATCCCCTCCTCTTACTATCCCTCCTCTCCCTGTCTCTCCTCTCCCCATCCCTCCTCTCATCCCTCCTCTTACCATCCCTCCTCTTACCATCCCTCCTCTCCCCATCCCTCCTCTCCCTATCCGTCCTCTCCCCATCCGTCCTCTGTTCGTTCCTTCCTCCCCACATCCCTTCCTGTTTGCTCCGCACTTCACCTCCCCCTCCCCTCCCCCAATCGCTCTGCGCGGTCTCATTGCAGGGACTCCTTGCAGGGAAAGAAGGGGAAAGGGAGGAAAGTGCACCCACGCTACGTCTATCCCCTCACCCCGCCCTGTCCTATCCCCTCACCCCGCCCTGTCCTATCCCCTCCCCTCCCCCTCCCGTCCTCTCCCCATCCCCTCCTCTTCCAAACCCATCCCTCCTCTTTCCATCCATCCTCTCCCCATCCCTCCTCTCCCCACCTCCTCATCCCTTGTGCGTTTCTGCTCCAGGGAGCTGCTTGGGACGCTGTGGACGGATGGCGGCGCCCATAGTCGCACAACAGAGGCGGACGTGGTGCTGCGTGAATCCCTTCCCCCCGTCCTCCCAACCTCTCTTTCTCCCTTCATCACGCCCCTCCTCTCCCCATCCCCTCCTCTCCCCCTCCCCTCATCACGCCCCTCCTCCCATCACGTCACGTCCTCTCCCCATCCCCTCCTCTTCCAAACCCATCCCTCCTCATCACATCCCTCCTCTTTCCATCCATCCTCTCCCCATCCCTCCTCTCCCCATCCGTCCTGTCCCCATCCCCTCCTCTCCCCCTCCGCTCCAGGTGTTTCCTCCCATCACCACTTCCTCCCATCACCACTTCCTCCCATTACCACTTCCTCCCATCATCACTTCCTCCCATCACCACTTCCTCCCATCACCACTTCCTCCCATCACCACTTCCTCCCATCACCACTTCCTCCCATCATCACTTCCTCCCATCACCACTTCCTCCCATCATCACTTCCTCCCATCACCACTTCCTCCCATCACCACTTCCTTCCATCACCACTTCCTCCCATCACCACTTCCTCTTCCTATCCCCTTTCCCTCTCACATCGTCCTATCTCCCCCTGTCCCTTCCCCCCTGCTTCCCTCTTCCCCCTCTTTCCCCGCTTTCCCCTCCCCATCGCTCGTATTCTCTTTCTCTCCCTGGCTATTGCAGTGACTACACTGATGATTTTTCTGGTAGCAACTCGCTCAGAGGCCCATCATCCCATGCCATGCTCGTAGAGAAAACAGTTCCCTTCATGTTTACAATCAAAAGTATTGTGCACATGCCTTTCTGTACCCTTCTGACACTCTTAGTGTGCATCAATCTTGGAAGAATATCTTGCACTGCAGAAACAAAATTACATACGGTACAGTATTATGCCTTTGAGATCCATCTCTTCAACAAAAATGATGCAAAGCACACAAGACACAGGTGGTGGTACGATGCAAAGCATAGACTAGCTGCGCCTCAGCTTGCTCCTCTGCTTCACCACTGAAAAATAGGGGAGATTGGAGTAGGCAGAAAGATTCGTGTGAAGAAACATGGGGGAGGTGGAGTGAGGTGCAAGGGAACAACGGCAGGGGAATACACACAAGCGCACATAATGAAAGCATGTATGGGGAGACACTAATGGGTGCACATGCATGGGTATTAGAGGGCGGAAGGTGAGGAGTGAGGGGGAAGGGTAGGGCATGAAAAGGAAGGGAAGGGTTGTGAACGGCTGGGGGAGGGAAGGGCGGAGCAGGGAGGAAAAGGCAGGGATGGGGAGGGCACGTGGGAACAGGGCAGAGGGTGCAGGAGAGTGAGAGTGCGAGAGGACGGAGGGAGAGAGTGCAGGAGGAGGGAGAGTGGGGGAAGGAGGGTGGGAGGAAAAGGCAGGGATGGGGTTTCCTAGGTGGGAACAGGGCAGAGGGTGGGGGAAGGAGAGTGAGAGTGCGAGAGGATGGAGGAAGCAGGGAAGGGGATGGGGGGAAGCAGGGAAGGGGATGGGGGGAAGCAGGGAAGGCGATGGGGGGAAGCAGGGAAGGGGATGGGGGGAAGCAGGGAAGGGGATGGGGGGAAGCAGGGAAGGGGATGGGGGGAAGCACGGAAGGGGACGGGGGGAAGCACGGAAGGGGATGGGGGGAAGCACGGAAGGGGATGGGGGGAAGCACGGAAGGGGATGGGGGGAAGCACGGAAGGGGATTGGGGGAAGCACGGAAGGGGATGGGGGGAAGCACGGAAGGGGATGGGGGGAAGCACGGAAGGGGATGGGGGGAAGCAGGGAAGGGGATGGGGGGAAGCAGGGAAGGGGATGGGGGGAAGCACGGAAGGGGATGGGGGGAAGCACGGAAGGGGATGGAGAGAAGCACGGAAGGGGATGGGGGGAAGCAGGGAAGAGGACGTGGGGAGCGAGGGAGATGCCGGGGAGAGAGCTGGGGGGAGGACGGTGGGGAGCAGGGCGATTGATGGGGGGAAAAGGGAGAGATGTATGCAGTGTGGGGGTGAAAGGCGATTATTCGGGAATGGGAAGGGTGCATGTGCAGGTGGGAAAGGGGGCGTGACAAGTGTGCGAGATGAGAAGGGAGAAGGGAGGGATGGCGAGGACAAGGAGTGGATGGGAGGGCGACGGGGAAAGAGAGGGCGACGGGGGGAGAGAGAGACGGGGATTGCGAGGGGACGAGCGGGAAGGAGGGCGACGAGCGACAGAGAGGCGACGAGACGAAGGGGGGCAACGGGGGGAAGGGAGCGCGACGAGGGAAAAGAAGGGCGGCGGGCGGACGGGAAGGCAACGGGAGGAAGGGAGGGCGACGAGACGAAGGGAGGGCGACGAGACGAAGGGAGGGCGACGGGCGGAAGGAAGCGCGACGAGGGGAAGGAAGGGCGGCGGGCGGAAGGGAGGGCGACGGGTGGAAGGGAGGGTGACGGGCGGAAGGGAGGGTGATGGGCGGTGACGGGCGGAAGCGAGGGCGACGGGCGGGGAAGCGGCGAGGGCGACAGGCGAGGCGAGGGTAGTAGGCGGGGGAAGCGAGAGCGACGGGCGAGGGAACCGACCTCGACGGGCGGCGAGGCGGCGAGGGCGACGGGCGGGGTGAGGGCAGTGGGCGGAGAAAGCAAGGGCGACGGGCGAGGGTCGCGAGGTAGGCAAAGTGCTCTCTCATCTCCTCACGCCCATTTTCTCCGTGCTTCGATTGCGTATACAAGCTGCACCTACTAATTCCGGTTGTCTAAATGGCGCTCACTCTAAAACCCTAGCTGGTGTGCGATGGTCGGATACTAATAGCGAGTGAATGAGTATGTTTGCTTGTTCTGTCGCACCAGTTTTCTTATGCTGTTCTTTCCCTCTGGGGTTGGTATGCGGGTTGCCTGCGAACTGTTTGCCTCACGGGAGAAAGCTATCAATCTTCATCCTTCTCCCTTTTAGCTACCGGATTTTGTGATTGACGTGATTGGTAACACAGCAACAAACTTGCGCCTTTGCTGCTTTGTTTCAACATTGTTACAAGCAGCATCGTTGTTTGCCAGGTTCCTGTTTGACGTGAAATTATATTAGAAACCAGCAACAACAACTTCGGATACAATCTGCTCCTTCGCTGCTTTGTCACGACATTGTTATAAGCATCATTATTTCCCCTTAAGTTGGTCTAGGTGCCTGACAAGCCACCCGTGACGCCAATATCTCCACAGGGTCGTAGTGCTAAATCCAAGTTATTTAAACTTGAAATAGATGTACAGGTGCGGTACAAACTAGATTTGGGATAACATGTAATTCCTGCTCAGATGCATGCAGCACGCGGTCTCTTCCGGCGCTTAGGCATTCCACCAGCAGCATGCTGTCCCTGGAGGCTAGTAAGGATACCCTTTAGAAGTACAGGAGACAGCTGATACAGGAGGCTCGTACAGATACCCTCGTACAGGAGGCTCGTACAGAGTACAGGAGACGGCTAACACAGTCGGTTAGTACGGATAAGTGCCCTTGACGAGTCCCTTGGGTGAGTAGAAGCAGGCCCAGAGCTGTGTCCCCGCACCGGCACAGGTGTACGAAGCGCATCCGACGGCTGTCGATGCCCGAGAGACGATCTGGATGTAATGCGAGCAAATCGCGCCCGTAGCACATCCGCCGTTGAGAGGCGAGTAGGTGTAGCTCGACTTTTCTGCCACCCACGAGTTGACGACCATCCTCCCGGTCCATTGGCCGATGCCAATTGTCACCATCAGGTTCTGGCCGTATGTCAGGGCGCTGGAGCGGGTGGCTGTGTGGCAAGTGTTGTCTGTCGTGCCAAGCTGGGTGATCCAGGTCAGAGCCTCAGCAGCCACTGATGGGAAGAGATGGGAGAGAGGGACGCAGCGCGGGGAGAAATTCAGGATGTACGGTAGCATCGGACATGGTAGGACAGGGGCAGCAAAAAGTGGCAACAGCAGTGGACATTGCAACATGGCCACAGGTCATTGGAACTCTACACTACTCGTTATAATCACACTCACAAGAGTCATTCCACGTCAGCGCCGGCAGACCGACGGCAGCACGGGCGGCGTTGTGCGGCTCGAGGAAATCTGAGTTGCCCACAGCCTCGCACTTGCTGTTCACCATGCGGTAACCCTCCGTGCAGTTACACACGCCTGCTCCATTCGCCACGTAGCAGTCCGAGTTGGGACCGCAGTTGAGCGGCGTGCACACGTCTGGTGGGAAGAGGGGGAGATGGAGGGCAGACGGGGGAAGATGAGTGAGGAAGCGGTGTGGGAAAGAGACGGGGGCAGAGCGGGGGAAAGAGGGCGGTGGGAAAGGGGGAGGGGGGGGGGGGGGGACAGGTGGGGGAAAGTCGGGGGGAAGGCGGAGGAAAGAGGTATAAGAGGCGAGGGGAAGAGATGGAAGGGATGGAGTTGAAGGAATACGGGAGGAAAGAAAGGGAGGAGTGAGAAGTGACTTTGCCGATCGAAGTGACACACATGTTATGCACGAGTCATGCCATGCGCCAATGCACATGCCGTCTCCCCAGCGAAGGCCCGGCTGTACCACCACTTGGTTCGTAAGGCGCCAGAATGTAGAAATGTAGAATGAAATAATATTAGATATAAAGGGTTTATAGATATAAATGTGTAAGTGCGGGTGTCAACGCCGACTTACCGACGCACACGCCATTCTTCTCAGCGAAGCCCTTGTTGCAATAGCACTTGGCGCCCGCCCACTTGGTGTCCAAGTGGCTGTTGGCCGGACACGTGTACAATTTGCTCAGGTCCTGCCCTGCTCGGTGGTTACCACGTAACAGTAACACAGAAGCGAAACGAAGGAGTGACGGTTATTCTTTGAGGGTACCGAAGGGACTTGGGACAGTATCCGGAAAGAGGAAGAGAAGAGCGGAGGCTTTAGCCATCGTCGCTTGAACTGAAAACAACTAATGCACTAGCGGTTGGTGATACTCACAGTATAGGCAACTAGCGGACTTGAGAGCCGTGCGGATGCCGGGGTAGGGGCTGCAGGGGATGGGAAAGGAAGAGTAGAGCCGAGAAAGGAAGAGACGCACGAGATGAGGAGGGCGCGATGGCAGCGTATGAAAGACGGACACGCGAAAGCAGGGGCGGGCCAGCGAGAGAAGAGAGCAGGAGAGCACGCGGTAGAGAAGGAGGCACGTGCGCAATCGGCGCGCAGCAGGGATAAGGGACATGTGCTATCGGCGCGCAGTAGAGAAAGAAGGCACGTACGATCGCGAGCTGGGCGAGGGCGGGTTGCGGTCCGTGGGGCACGTCAGCTGCTGTACGCCGACGTTGCAGTCGCGGCTCGAGTAGAGCTGGATCTGCATCACCACAGCGACGCAAGGGTTCAGTCAGCGACGCGACGCGAATCAAAGATAGCGACGCGACGCGACTCGAAGATAGCGACACGTCGCGCATCATGTAATGGCGTCACTTCAGCGAGGATTAGCCAAATCCCGCAGCAACGAAACCCATGTGGGCCAAAAAGGTCGGACGTGCTGGCACGTGACGAAGTACCAGTCGGTCTTAATCGCTTGCGTCGGCGCATACCACTCTCGGCAAGGGATTCGACTGAAATATCGGTCTTAAGAATGGACACAGAAATTGCAACGGACCTGCTGGCATGTGACGAAGTACCAGTCGGTCTTCATCGCCTGCGTCGGCGCGTACCACTCGATCTTGATCGAGCCATACGTCGTCGACGGGTAGTATTCCGGCGGAAAGTTGATGCAACCGTCTGTGGGGCTAGGAAGCCAGGTCACCCATTTCGCCCCGGTGTAACCCGTCTGGTTCCACCACGACATTCTCGTGGCGCACGGCGTGTCGCGATTCGGGATCCCATTGATCATGAGCGACCGGCGGTTTCTGGAAGCTGCAAATGAACAAACGGGCATGATTAGTGATTGAATAGAAACTCAATGAACACAGAATTGCAAGACGATGGAAAATCTCGAAAAGGTTCGATGAAGGGAGCAGAGAGAGACAGCGAGAGCCGTACCTTGCGGGTGGTCCACCTGCGCGTCGGCGCGGAGAATAGGCGCCACGAAATTGGTGGCGTCAGCTGGAGTGGAAGGGCAAGGTGCACGGCGGGAAAAAATATTGATTGAAACGGGTGTGATGGATGAAGGTGAGAACGACGAATGGTATGCGGCGACTGAAAGGTGTAAAACCAGCGAATAAAGGGGTTTAGGTTGCGCGTGCAGTCCGGGGGTCACGACGAAGGCGACAAGGTGCATGCAAAATCCACTGGCTTGCCTGGCGACGCTTCTGCGACGAACGCCGCGAAAGATACGAGGAGAGAGAGAACCAGAAGCCGAGCCATGCTGATAATCCGCAGTGGCCGTTCGCTGGGACCAGAGGCAGACTACTAACTGCTGTTGAGTGACGCAAAGACAACTGGAAATTGTGGGAGGCGTCGATTGTTTCTGAGTTTGGCTGGGACTGGAAGGTTCTGTGCTGACAGAAGCCCAAGGAAAAAGTGCTTGAGATTCTGTTTCAGCTGCCTGTAATTTGTACTCTAGGCTGGCTCTCTCCGTACGTACTGGAAAGGGAATGTAGGGAGTTTCATTTCATGGCTAGGGATACATGCGATGCGACGATGCATGCTTGGGATGGAATGGGATGCATGACATGGTCCGCAATGTGCGGCCCAGACATGCCATGACGAAAACAAACGGGACGAACGGTAACCACGTCGTCGTAACAGCACCTTGTCGTGAAGCCTGTTGCGAAGCCGTTATGCTTCAACGACTGTCGTTTCAAGCACGGTTGGGGGTTCGCGCGAATCGCAGATGATGCGAGGCAGCCATCTCTGGAAACCGACACCTTGACTCATGCGGGAAAGACTCTCCGTCTATTCGGTAGAAATCCTGAGACCGACATGACAGGGGGACCAGGAAATATCAGAACTCAGGTGGATAACGAAACTTGCGGAACCCTGATAAGGGCGCAGCAGGATTTGCTGTGGCACCGTGTCTCGCGGCGCTGGGGCTGATAACAACGGGCATCCTCACTTCTATTTGTCTCACTAGCGTGGAAGGTGAGAACGATAATTCGGACGCGAGCGAGTGTTCCGGGAAGATGAGGCGGACCCCTCGACTGTCTGAAAGGTGGGGAAAATATGCCATAAGTAACCAACATGGGACTCGATAACGTAAGTGGTAAAAAAAAAACGCGTACGGTCACTGTATCGGGTTTCGTGACGGGCTTGGTAAATGGGGTCACGGATTCAGTCACTAACAACAGGTAAAAAATCACGCGAATGGTCACACATGTAACTCCCGCCAAAAAAACTTGAAACTCAACAAAATTCCCGCTCGCGTCCAACCAATCAGCTAACTTTAAGAAAACTAAAACCCAATCGGAATCGGATGCGGTTTGGGAACGGATCAACCCTAAACACCTGGCGAGTTACGTGTTTAGGGTTGATTACGAAAATGCATCCAGGTTCCTTTTGGGTTTCATTCTGTTTTGGCGGGAGTTTCATCTATGACCATTCGCGTTTTTTTTTACCAGTTGATAGTGACTCTGATTACGTGAAACGTTTTATCAGTTGCGTGAAAACACCCCTTGCAGTGACCGTACCATTTTTTTTTTTGTTACCATTCACGTTATCGAGTCCCAAGTTGGTTACGTATGGCATATTTTCCCCTGAAAGGTGAGGATGACTACAGTGATTGATTTGCCCATTGATGTTGGATATACCTACAACCAAATCAATATAGCCATTCGGAACCAGGAATGATCGAACGCTGATTCACATAGCGTGTTAATGAGAAACAAACCACTGCATAGACGTGCACAAAATAAATCCAAGCAACCGTTAGCACATGATCTGGTAGGCGAAGACAAATAGAACCTCAACATCAACCATTCTCGGCCGCATCATATGAGTTGGACTTGTGCTTTGGAGTAAAACTGAAGTTTGGCGGAGGGCCCAAAAGCATTTCAGAAATCTTGACCTGATAAGAGCAAGGAGATGGGTGATACATCCGCGGAGCACAATATCAGTGAAGTAGATGCGAAAAAAGAAACGGGAAACAGAGGACATGAAACGCTGAGCATGCAGAGTCAAGAGTGAAGTTGCAAGGAGATCGGCAAGGCTGAGTGGAGGGAGTTGCAAGAGTGAAGGGGCCAAGCTTGCAGCAAGATGCTCATGTCAACCACACACACTCAAGATGCACCCAAGCAAGCCAGAAACAAACGTCACACGGTTGTGACACCCCTCAACCCACCCAAACGTGAGGATTGTACGACCAAAAGGACGTCACACGGGACGGGAGGGAGGGGAGGGAGGGGGGGGGAGGGGAGGGAGAAGGGGATGGGAGGGGGAGGGGGAGGGGGAGGGGGAGGGGGAGGGGGAGGGGGAGGGGGAGGGGGAGGGGGAGGGGGAGGGGGAGGGGGAGGGGGAGGGGGAGGGGGAGGGGGAGGGGGAGGGGGGAGGAGGGAGGAGGGAGGAGGGAGGAGGGAGGAGGGAGGAGGGAGGAGGGAGGAGGGAGGGGGGAGGGGGGAGGAGGGAGGAGGGAGGAGGGAGGAGGGAGGAGGGAGGAGGGAGGAGGGAGGAGGGAGGAGGGAGGAGGGAGGAGGGAGGAGGGAGGAGGGAGGAGGGAGGAGGGAGGAGGGAGGAGGGAGGAGGGAGGAGGGAGGAGGGAGGAGGGAGGAGGGAGGAGGGAGGAGGGAGGAGGGAGGAGGGAGGAGGGAGGAGGGAGGAGGGAGGAGGGAGGAGGGAGGAGGGAGGAGGGAGGAGGGAGGAGGGAGGAGGGAGGAGGGAGGAGGGAGGAGGGAGGAGGGAGGAGGGAGGAGGGAGGAGGGAGGAGGGAGGAGGGAGGAGGGAGGAGGGAGGAGGGAGGAGGGAGGAGGGAGGAGGGAGGAGGGAGGAGGGAGGAGGGAGGAGGGAGGAGGGAGGAGGGAGGAGGGAGGAGGGAGGAGGGAGGAGGGAGGAGGGAGGAGGGAGGAGGGAGGAGGGAGGAGGGAGGAGGGAGGAGGGAGAAGAGGGAGGGCAGGGGGAAAGAAAGGGGGCGATGGAGGAAAGGGCAGTGAAAAATGCTATGGCTTCTCCAGTCCGTGTATGCCATCACATCTCCGTAGCAGATGAACTGCCAGTGGGGGAGGAGGGAGGAGAGAGGAGAGGCAGGTTGGGACAGGGAGGAAGAGAAGACAGCAAGAAATGTAGAAAGATTCTCAAGTCCGTGTAGCCATCGCGTCTCCGTTGCCTAGCAACTGCTGCGGTGGAGGAGGGAGGGACAACGGGGTGCGGAGGAGGGTGGCAATGGAGGAAGGAGGGAGAAGGAGCGGGAAGGGGCGCAAGAGGGGGTTGGGAAAAGGACAGACGGAGCCATGGGGTGGGGGTGGAGAGAGGGCAGCGAAAACTGCTCTGCCACTGCCTTTGACTTGCAAACGGAGGCATGGCAGAGAAAGGAGGAGGGAAAAAGGGGGGAGAGAGAGAAGAAGTAGGAGGATGGGGGACGGCGACAAGCTGGCTGGAGAAAAAATGCCAAGCAAGCGTTGTTAGGAATGAACAAGGCATGCATGTGAGAAAGGTAAAAAGAACCTGTAACCGACCACGAATGTAACACAATTAACAAAAGTAACGAAAGAATGCAGAGCAACGTCATGCCTGTCACCGACCTGTAGCCCTGCCGGCTTGACTGACGCACACTCCCCGATGTACTCCCAGTCAGCCAGCCGGCTGTAGCGCTGCTGGCGCGTGCGCCCGTGCAGGGTCACGGCTGTAGCGCCCCAGTCCAGCAGATGCGGGATGTAGCGGTGCGCCACATTGTGCCCCTCTGCGTACCCCGTGCGCATCTGTAGCGGGAGGGAGCGAGACAGAAAGGCATGGGAAGGGTTTGTGGCAACGAGAAATGAGCGCAGCAGTGAGGGATTCACGGCTGTAGCGCAGATCAGTCCAGCAGGTGCGGGACGGGATGTAGCGGCGCGCCACTTTGTGCCCTGTTGTGCTCTCAGCAGTTTTCGGCCCTTACACACCGAAACCCTTACATGTGATAAAATCGATTTCTTAAAAGCCCTTACACACCGCAACCGCAACCCTTACAAGTCATACCCTGTTGTGCCCTCAGCATGCCCTGTTGTGCCCTCAGCATGCCCTGTTGTGCCCTCAGCATGCCCTGTTGTGCCCTCAGCATGCCCTGTTGTGCCCTCAGCATGCCCTGTTGTGCCCTCAGCATGCCCTGTTGTGCCCTCAGCATGCCCTGTTGTGCCCTCAGCATGCCCTGTTGTGCCCTCAGCATGCCCTGTTGTGCCCTCAGCATGCCCTGTTGTGCCCTCAGCATGCCCTGTTGTGCCCTCAGCATGCCCTGTTGTGCCCTCAGCATGCCCTGTTGTGCCCTCAGCATGCCCTGTTGTGCCCTCAGCATGCCCTGTTGTGCCCTCAGCATGCCCTGTTGTGCCCTCAGCATGCCCTGTTGTGCCCTCAGCATGCCCTGTTGTGCCCTCAGCATGCCCTGTTGTGCCCTCAGCATGCCCTGTTGTGCCCTCAGCATGCCCTGTTGTGCCCTCAGCATGCCCTGTTGTGCCCTCAGCATGCCCTGTTGTGCCCTCAGCATGCCCTGTTGTGCCCTCAGCATGCCCTGTTGTGCCCTCAGCATGCCCTGTTGTGCCCTCAGCATGCCCTGTTGTGCCCTCAGCATGCCCTGTTGTGCCCTCAGCATGCCCTGTTGTGCCCTCAGCATACCCTGTTGTGCCCTCAGCATGCCCTGTTGTGCCCTCAGCATGCCCTGTTGTGCCCTCAGCATGCCCTGTTGTGCCCTCAGCATGCCCTGTTGTGCCCTCAGCATGCCCTGTTGTGCCCTCAGCATGCCCTGTTGTGCCCTCAGCATGCCCTGTTGTGCCCTCAGCATGCCCTGTTGTGCCCTCTGCATGCCCTGTTGTGCCCTCAGCATGCCCTGTTGTGCCCTCAGCATGCCCTGTTGTGCCCTCAGCATGCCCTGTTGTGCCCTCAGCATGCCCTGTTGTGCCCTCAGCATGCCCTGTTGTGCCCTCAGCATGCCCTGTTGTGCCCTCAGCATGCCCTGTTGTGCCCTCAGCATGCCCTGTTGTGCCCTCAGCATGCCCTGTTGTGCCCTCAGCATGCCCTGTTGTGCCCTCAGCATGCCCTGTTGTGCCCAGGGCTTGCCGCGATCAACGAGATGGCAGGGGGTTCGGCCCCCCTCAAACCCGTGGTCCAGTGGGTTCATGCTCCGCTTGGGGGACCTCCGTTATACTCAGCTTTCTCTTTGGTGTGCCTAAAATTTCCTTCTGTGCAAGTGCTCAGCTTTCTCTTTTTATTAAATTCGCGGAGTTTTCCTAAAGCAATGCCAAACGTCAAGTACAATGTAAATACTCGACTGCATTATCAGCCTTCCCTTCAAGCAAACTTTAACGACTTTGGGCATATGTGGAAAGAAAAATAAACATGTAGGCGAGAGGTTTCCCTCTATCGCCATGGTAGAGAGGAGCTTGTGCAGACGGATGGCGTGATGGATGGAATATGTCTAGTAGACAGGTGGGATTCCAGGCTTGTCATGAGCTTCCGATTGGTTTGTTCTAGAACGCCTTGCTGCGGATGTTAGTAGGGCAGCGAGGTGTGATGTGTGTTATTCATTTCCCGCCCAGGTTGTAATCTTCTTCATGGTGACATAAAGAATTCTGAATTCTGCTTAAATCTGCTTCATGGTGCCATAAAGAATTCTGAAAAACACTACAATACAGCTATGTTTTCAGAATACGGAATGTATCCTATCTGTTTGAAACAGTTAGTATTCTAATTTAGTTGGTGCTCTAACAAAAGTTTTTTAAAGCTATTTGCTTTGTAGATAAATAATTATAAACAAATGAAGAATTAATAACCTACATACAATACAAATGCACAGGTATTCTGCGCAAGACTCAGCCCACCAAAAAAAAGCCACCGAAATCAGCCCACGAGTTTACGAGAGAAGCATCTAGTTGAGAGGCTCCATCTCGTACTGCTGCACGGGGCTCAGCTGCTTGGCGCGGTGGTACTCCGTGTACGCGCAGTCCACGGACAGCACGGAGCTCGACTCGTACATGCGGGGAGTGCCGTCAAGGAACCCAGCGCCCTCCTCGCTCTCCGCCGAGATCGGACGGTGCAGGTTCGCGATCAGCTTCTGGAAGTTGGCGGCGCGCTCCGCGTGGTCGGGGCGGTACGTCTGGCCGAGCACGCCGTGCACGTCGTCGGTGTGCTCCAGCTCGACAATCCCGACATTGATGTGCGCCTCGGCGTCGTTGGGGGTCTGAAGCTTGGGGTTGGCAACGCGCAGGCGCAGGTCGAGACCCACGAGGCCGTCGATCTGGAGGGTGTAGTAGTCCACGTCATAGGGACCCTCCTTCTCCAGAGCCACGAATCGCAGCGTCAGACCGCCCTCAGTCGTCACCTCGTCGCCGACGCTCATTTTCGGCATCTGCTTGCCGTCGATCTCGATCGTCTTCATGAATCCGTCGCCGCGCTCCTGCTGCTTGCCGCCGCGCGCCGCGAGGCGCACCTTGTGGTCGGCGCCGTTGGCGAACCAGATGATGCCGAGCTCCTTGATCCACGTGTGCACGGCCTTGCCGTCAACGACGAGCGCGGCGTTCTCCGTGTCGTCCGAGTAGTACCCGCGCAGCAGCATGTTGATGTGAAGGTCCTTGTCGGCCAGCAGGCAGAACGCCTTGTCGGGGCGCCCGTTGAAGTCGAAGTGCGTCCCGTACGCGCCCACCAGATGCGGGTCGTTCGAGATTTTCGAAGAGGGGTTGCACTCCCCGCCCGTGCGCACCTGCAGGGCAATTGGCTTCGAGTCCGTCGCATACTGCGCCGTCATCTCTCCGCACGTGAAGTCGATGTTGTCGTGCACAAGGTAGCACGCACCGTCCGACTTCTTGCCGTCGATGGTGATATCGGGAATGTACTGCCAGTACGTGCAGCCAGGGTAACCCGCGCACGAGTTGCAGCAAGTTTGCGGGGAAGCCTTCTTGATCGTAAGGGGGTTGCCCTTCACGTACACCTCCACACCGAGCTTGTTCTTGAGCAGGTTCGACGTCTTCCACTTGGCGGGAATGCCGCCGAAGGAGCAGTTCGAAGGAGTGCACGCGCCCTTTCCAATCGCGTCCATGCCCTTCATGCCGTTTTTGCACTTCATGGCGTTCCACGCGGAATTCTTCACGGCCACCATCAGCATACTGTCAGTGGTCGTGCTCACGATTGTCGTACCCTTCAAGGAAGCCAGGTTACCGTCCGCCGCCGCCTTTTCGACGCTAGTAGGGACGTTCGTCACGACGCCATTAGCGCCTTTGGCTTCATCGAGGTTGACTGCCGGGTTGCTGGGTCCAGGCATGACGGTGGGCTTCTGGGCAGAAGCCAACACCAGAAGCACTGACAGGGTTGCGGCGAGGAAAGCCAGACGCGCCATCGTGGAGGACTGGCTTGAAACTAATTTGAAAGAACCCAAACAAGCAGCAAATTCTGACTGACTGCTATTGTCGATACCCAGGACTGAGCTTGTGTTAGCAAATTCTGAGGAAAACGTGTTGCCTCGTTCCCTTTGTATCTGGATGACAGGTTCTCAGTGCCTGGAGATGTCGGCCACGGGGATGGGGGGAGATGTGTGAAGTGGTTTGTGATGATTGGTGGAAAAAATCGAACGAGTCGCGCAAATTTCTCCTGGAACCGGAGCGGGAGATAGCCGTACGGTTCTGCTCCACTCGTTTGCAAGCCGGTTATCTGAAAGGTACCTGGAAACTTATCTGGAATGTATAGGGTGCGAAATCACGTGAAGATTGCTTAACGCGCCGCAGGTGTATTTATCAGAATGACTCATGTCAGTTCGTGGGGACCTGAACAGAACATCGCTGTTGTTGAGTACTGTACATTGTTGTTCGCATTATGTTTCCATTTTTTCCAAATGTTCTATTGGTGTCCGTTGCTGACAAATCTTTGTTCGTATATACTCTTTACTGTACTCCCATGTGGAATGCGACTAGAATCTCAGAATTCCATCACACTTCCAGAGATTCAGCGTCCTGAAGCGGGACACGCACCTTGTCATGGTAATGTTGGGGTAGTTCGGATCCGTCTAAAGTCATCCAGAGACCATTCCCCCCCTACCTGAAATGCTTCTTCTCTGGAGGCACCTCAAGAATGGTGATGTTGGGTTAGTTTGCATACGTCCAAAGTCTTCCGCGAAATCAGACATTTCCCTACCTGAGGCCTCGTACCTGTATTCACCTGACATTTGTCCCGTTGGGGCAGCATAATGAAATTATGATTTTGAACACCTTCAAAATGCCTAGAACTGAACAATAGGCAAACAATGATGTGTGCGCCGTCCTACAAAAGGGGACATAGGAGGAGGGGAGGTGGTGGAGACTACGGGACACTTCCGAGCTTTGACAACGAAGGCTGCCCCAGAACATTCGCCCAATATCTGAACTCTCTCGCCGTTTGGTTGGTAGGGTTCGCCAAAATAAATCGCTTTACAACGTGGAGTAGAATTGAGTACACTATCATTTTAGAGCTATCTCCAAAATAGATATTCCAGTGAATTCTAGACTGAACATTATCGGGTATTTCCGGAACATTCAAATATAACCTCCACCTGAGATCATGGATGTGTTTTGATCCAACGTCATCGTAAACCCACATACTAAACCCCTGTTTAGCTGAACGCACACTACCCGCCAAGGCAACATTCTCTGCTCCTCAGCAAGTTTTAAAAACACCCCTTCTCCCCTCCCTCTCCCATCAACCCCTTCCACCACTCCCCTCTCCCCCTTCCTCCGCGCCCGCACTCCCCACCCCCACGCGCCCTCTTCAACAATTTCGTGCGCTTTGGTGGAGCATTTTCCAGAGCAAGTCGCGGAGGGGGATGAGGGACATGGGTTGGTGATCATTCCAGCCATGCCATGCAGCTTGCACATACTCTGGTCCTCCCCCAGCCAAAGAAACACCTCATCCCCCTCACTCCTCCCATTCCCCCCCCGCCCAACCTCCTCTCACGCCCCCCTCCTCCCCCTCTTCCTCAGTTATTGCGTGCGTTTTGGTCGAGCATTTTCCCGAGCACGTCGCGGAGCGCGTTGAGCGAGATGGGTTTGGTGATCATGCCGGCCATGCCGTGGCGCAGGCACTGGTCCTTGGTGGTCTCGTCCGCGTTGGCTGTCAGCGCCACTATCATCGGCCGCAGCTCCTGCTTTAGCTCCGTGCGGATCTTGTTCGCCACCGTGTACCCATCCATCTGGAGAGGGGAGGGGTGGGGGGAAAGCAAAGAAGGGAAGTGGAAAGGCGGGGAGGAAGGAAGGTAGGCGGAAAAAGGGGGAGGAAAGAAGGGAGGCGGAAAGAGGGCGAGGAAAGAAGGGAGGCGGAAAGATGGGGGGGAGGGGGGAGGAAAGAAGGGAAGTGGAAAGGGGAGGGGAGCGCGTTGAGGGAGATGGGTTTGGTGATCATGCCGGCCATGCCGTGGCGCAGGCACTGGTCCTTGGTGGTCTCGTCCGCGTTGGCTGTCAGCGCCACTATCATCGGCCGCAGCTCCTGCTTTAGCTCCGTGCGGATCTTGTTCGCCACCGTGTACCCATCCATCTGGAGGAGGCGAGAGGGGCGGGGGGAAGGAAACGTGGGGGAGGGAGGGGGGAGGGGGGGGGGGCAAGGGGAGAGGCGGGCTAGGAATGAGGGCTGTCAGCGCGACAATCATCGGCCGCAGCTCCTGCTTTAGCTCTGTGCGGATTGTGTTGGCCACCGTGTACCCGTCCATCTGGAGGAGAGGTGCGGGGAGGGGAAGGGGGAAGGAAGGGGAGACGTGTTGTTAGAGAGGCATGAGCTCAGCGCCACGCCACAATCATCGGCCGCAGCTCTGCTTTGAGCTCTGTGCGGATCTCGTTGGCCACCGTGTACCCGTCCATCTGGAGGAGGTGTGGGGGGCAGGGGAGGAGAGGGAGGGGGAGAAGAAAAGAAAGAAGGGGAAAAGGGGGGAGGAGCACATGTGGCAGGGTTCAGAATGCCCAGATGATATGAGTGGTCACGAGGGTTAGCAGCAGCGTGTTGTTTACTCAAAAATGTTACCCGGGCCAACCTTTCCTTTCCTTCACAACCAACCCCCTTCTCCTTAACCCCCACGATCCCACCTCGGGCATCATGAGGCCCAGCAGCAGCACGTCGTATGTCAGAGGCGAGGCAGGGCCTCGGGTTCATTAAACCCCTCAATCCTGACCCCCCACCACCAGCGCCACCCCCCAATAGTCCCACCTCGGGCATCATGAGGCCCAGCAGCAACACATCATACTGCAAAGGAGAGAGACTCCACCCCTCATCCCAATCCCCAATCCTTTCAAGTATGATGTGCTGCTGGATTATCCCCAATCCTCCCCCCCCCCGTTTCCCCCCCCTCATCCTAATTTGGTTCTTTACGTTTGCGTGTACGTCTTTTACGTTTACGTGTACGTCTTTTATACGTACGTACGGTTACGTTTTCGTACGGTTACGCACCTCCCGAATTATGCCCTTATGCACGGTCAGGTAAAAACCTCTTTTGTGCTGCCCCATTTTATTCTTAATGAGAATAAACGAGTGAAGTAAATCACTAGTTTACTAACACTACTACGATCTAAATCTCATGAGAACAGTGGCAAAAAAAAGTGAAAACGAGAAAATTTTATACCTGCCCGGAGTAAGTAAACGTAAGTACATGTACGTTTACGCGTACTTTACGTGTACGTGGGCCTCCAGGACGTAAATGACCAACTTAGCCCTCATCCCACCTAGGGCATCATGAGGTGGAGCAGCAACACGTCGTACTTCTCCTCGTCCTGCTCCTCCGCCAGGATGCTACTAGGCCACGAGGACACCCCCCTTAACCACCATCCCCTCTCCCCCTCCCCTCCTCCCCTCCTCCCCCTAACAAGCCCACCTCGGGCATCATGAGGTCGAGCAGGAGCACGTCGTACTTCTCCTCGTCCTGCTCCTCCGCCAGAATGCGCAGACACTCCCTGCCCGACTCCACCACCCGCGTTGAGATGCCGATGCGATCCAGAAGACGCTTTGTCACGAGGCGGTTCACCATGTTGTCGTCCACCACCATGATCTGCCATGGGTGGCGGGATGGGGGTGGGGGGGTGTGGGGAGAAGGGGTTGTGGGGACGGGTGGGGGTGGGGTGAGGGGATGCGCAGACACTCCCTGCCCGACTCCTCCACACGCGTTGAGATGCCAATGCGATCAAGAAGACGCTTTGTCACGAGCCGGTTCACCATGTTGTCGTCCACCACCATGATCTGCCATGGAGGGAAAGGATAGGGGTGTGGGGATGGGTGGGGATGGGTGGGGGTGGGGGTGAGGGGATGCGCAGGCATTCCCTGCCCGACTCCACCACGCGTGTTGAGATGCCGATGCGGTCAAGAAGACGCTTTGTGACAAGTCGATTCACCATGTTGTCATCCACCACCATGATCTGCCATGGGTGGCGGGATGGGGGGAAAGGATGGAGGTGTGAGGATGGGTGGGGTAAGTCGAGGTGGGTGGGGTGAGGGGATGCGCAGACACTCCCTGCCCGACTCCACCACGCGTGTCGAGATACCAATGCGGTCAAGAAGCCTCTTGGTAACCAGTCGATTGACCATGTTGTCGTCCACCACCATGATCCTGGAGTGAAAGAGACAGGGGAAGAAAGCATAAGGGTAGGGCGGAGGAGGAAGGGTAGGGCAAAGGGGGATGCCAGGAGTTTGAGGCTAAATTGAAAGCAGCCGCTTCGTCACGAGTCGATTCACCATGTTGTCATCCACCACCATGATCTGAACGGAGGGCTACGGGCGGGTAGGATGGGTGGGGATGGGTGGAGGTGGGTGGAGAAGAGTGTTAAGAGCCGACTCACAAGGTACCAGCCGGTTCACCATGTTGTCAGCCAATTTCTGCCCTAGTCCTCCATGAGACTTTTGCCCTCTCTCTTCCCATGCGCCAAGTGTTGCCTTTTGAGAAATGACAGAACTTATAAAAGTCTCGGCCGCAGGGCAGGCAAAGGAGTTGACGTCAGGCCCCTCGTCCTGGTCCTTGTCACTGCGGTCGCTGCCCTCTTCCTCCCCTGCTCCATCGCCCTAGTTCCAAATCGCTGCCCTCTTCCTCCCCATACATTTACCTAACAAAATAACTTACCCGGAGGGCAAAGAAGTTGACATCGGGCCCCTCGTCCTGGTCCTCGTCGCTGCCATCGCTGCCCTCAGCATCGAGCTTGAGCATGGCCAGGAACTTGCACGTCGCGCCCTTGCCCCGGCCCCTCTCGCCCTGGTCCTCCTCCCACCAGTCACTCCCCTCACCTCCAACCCCACTGTTCCCCTCCCCTCTAACCACGATAAACATCTCACCCGCAGAGCAAAGAAGTTGACGTCAGGGCCCTCGTCCTGGTCGTCGTCGCTGCCATCGCTGCCCTCAGCATCGAGCTTCAGCATGGCCAGGAACTTGCACGTCGCGCCCTTGCCGCGCCCGTTGCTCTCCATCCATATGTGCCCGTTCATCAGCTGCCGTGGAGGCAGGGGGGGTGCCAGGGAGGGAAGGAGGGATGGACGCAGGGAGGGAGGTACGGAGGGGGGAAGGTAGGGAGCATTGGAGAGAGGGAGAGAGGGGGGAAAATAGTGGTCTCTCCATCCTATGCTCCATCCATATGTGCCCCACTCCATTAAACAGCAGGCATGCAGGCAGGGGTTGGAAAGGGAGGCAGGCAGAAACACGTGCCTCTCCTCGCATGTACTCCCACGTCCCCTCTAACAGCCTCACTCCAGGGGACACCCCGAGCCCTCACCTGCACGAATTTGTGGGAGAGGGCCAACCCCAGGCCCGTGCGTGCGGCTGCCTTTCGTCCCATCCTCCCGGAACTTGTCGAAGAGCTTCAGAATGTCGGCACCTCCCTCTCTCTTCTCTGCCTGCCCATGTCCCCCCCCAATCCTCACCTGCACCAACTTCCTTGACAGAGCCAACCCCAGCCCGGTGCGGCTTCCCTTGGTCTCATCCTCCAGAAAATTGTCAAAGAGCTTGGGGATGTCAGCCGCCTGGAGGTCCACGCCCGAGTCCTTCACCTCGAAGCGGATGAAGGTGTGCCCCGCCTCCGCCTTGAGTACAAGCCTCTCCACATCCCCGCCCCCCTTCCCGTACACCCCCGCTTCAGCCTGCAACCCTACCTAGCCCCTACTCCCTCGCTCTCTCACCCCACCATTCACCGCAGCCTTTACCTGCACAAACTTCCTCGAGAGAGCCAATCCGAGCCCCGTGCGGCTGCCTTTCGTTTCATCTTCCTGGAACTTGTCAAACAGCTTGGGGATGTCAGCCGCCTGGAGGTCCACGCCCGAGTCCTTCACCTCGAAGCGGATGAACGTGTGCCCCGCCTCCGCCTTGAGCACAAAGCCGTCTCGCGCCCACCATGCGCTCGGGGGCCACTGTGACTGTGATGGTGCCGGTGTTTGTGTACTTGATGGCGTTGTTTATCACGTTCAGCAGCACCTGGAAGCGGGGAGGGGAGGGGGGGTTGGGGGGACAGACAGGGAGTATAAGGGGTGGGGGGGGCCACTGTGACTGTGATGGTGCCGGTGTTTGTGTATTTGATGGCGTTGTTTATCACGTTCAGCAGCACCTGGTGGCGAGAGGAGGGCGAGGAGGGGGGAGGCAGATGGAAGGAGGAGGAAGATGGGGAGGAAGAGGGGGAGGAAGAGGGAGAGGCAAGCAGGGTGGCGCAGACAGACACAGAGGCTGATTCTTAGAGTTCTCGAAATCGACCTACGACACAGAGGCTGTGAGTGAGACCACTTGCTGAACACACACCTTGCAAGCTCATACATACCCACTGCTGATCATACAAACTCATACATACATACCCACTGCTGATCATACAAACTCATACATACATACCCACTGCTGATCATACAAACTCATACATACATACCCACTGCTGATCATACATACTCATACATACATACCCACTGCTGATCATACATACTCATACATACATACCCACTGCTGATCATACATACTCATACATACATACCCACTGCTGATCATACATACTCATACAAACCCACTTCTGATCATACATACTCCATACCCACTTCTGATCCAGGCGTTTCTTCAGGTGATGACGCGGCTAAACAATCGCCTCACATCCACACAATCATACATACTCACATCCACACAATCATACATACTCACATCCACACAATCATACATACTCACATCCACACAATCATACATACTCACATCCACACAATCATACATACTCACATCCACACAATCATACATACTCACATCCACACAATCATACATACTCACATCCACTGCCAGCCACCCACTGACCTAGCTAGCACCAACCAACGCACCTGCAGCAGGCGGTTCCCGTCTCCGACAACGCTCTCCGGAAGGTTGGGATCAGCTTTGAATGTGAGCATGATGCCCTTGTCCTTTGCAATAGGAGACGAGAGCGTCTCCGCCTCGGTGACGAGAGCGGGCAGCTCAAACTGCTCGGGGCCCAGCACGAGCTTCATGTTGTCCTCCTCCAGGCGCCAGAACTCGAGGATGTCGTACAGGAGGGAGGCGAGGAGGGTGGAGGAGAAGGCGACGGTTTCAGCCATGGAGCGCTGCTCGTCGTTCAGGTCCGACTCGGCGAGGAGCGAGGAGAGGGCTGTTATGGAGTGCATTGGCGTTCGCATCTTGGCGTTCATCACCTGCAGAGGTGGGTGGGGGACGCAGGGAGGAGGGAGGAGGGCGGGAGAGGGGGAGGTTGATTTGATTCTGCCATCCTCCAGGCGCCAGAACTCGAGGATGTCGTACAGGAGGGAGGCGAGGAGGGTGGAGGAGAAGGCGACGGTTTCAGCCATGGAGCGCTGCTCGTCGTTCAGGTCCGACTCGGCGAGGAGCGAGGAGAGGGCTGTTATGGAGTGCATTGGCGTTAGCATCTTGGCGTTCATCACCTGGGGGGGAGAAGGGGGAGGGGAGGGGAGGGGGATGAGGGGAGAGAAGCGGGAACGGGAAAGGAAGCGCATGGGAGGGAGGAGTGAGGAGAGCGCCGTGATGGAGTGCATTGGCTTGGCGTACGCATCTTGGCGTTCATCACCCGGTGGGCGGGGGGGAGTGAGGAGATGAACGCAGCCACAGCAAGACATGACTGAGAATGGGCCTACACATCCCACCTGCCTGCAGCAGGCAGGATCCTAGAAAACACCTACAAGATGACATTGCTTGCTTTCATGGTTACCTGCCCCACATGTCACCACCCGCACACGGCACCTACCTGCAGGAAGTTGTCTCTGGCCTTGACGGCGGACTTGCCCTCCAGGTTGGCCTGCTTGACCTCACTCTTGCTTCCTTTGAGTCGTCTCAAAAGGCACATGTATGATGTCTCGGATGTTACCTTCCTCACATGTCACCTACCTGCAGGAAGTTGTCTCGGGCCTTGACAGCGGACTTGCCCTCGAGATTGGCCTGCTTGAGCTGCTCGCCCTCCTCCAGCAGCAGCACGAGCACACCATACTCCATGGAACCGCTCTTTCGCCCCCTCCCTCTCACCTGCTCAGCAACCGTATCCACCTTCTCCAGCACCTCCTGGCGGAACTTCTTCACGCCACCCTCGCCCCCTCCGCCTCCCCCTCCCCCTCCGCCCGCCCCTCCGCCTCCGCCTGCGCCCCCCTTGCCCTTGTCCGCGACCTCCCCCGGCAGCAGCAGCACGAGCACACCATACTCCATGGAAGCGCCGTCCTGCGGGCTCCTCGACCCTGGCGTTGCCGGGTCGGCGAGTGTTACAGGGACGGCAGCAGCGCCTGGGGGCGGGAAGGGCGTGACAGGAGGGACGGACGGGAGCATGTGAGGTAGGCAGGCAGGCAGGCACAGGCAGCACGAGCACGCCAAACTCCAGAGAGGCCCCGGCCTGAGGGCTCCTTGCTCCTGGGGTGGCTGGGTCTGCGAGAGTCACCGGCACGGCAGCAGCGCCTGGGGGAGGATTGGGAGGAATGAGGAACAAACGCATGCCGCGCAGGCAGCAGCAGCAGCAGCAGGAGGAACAGCAGCAGCAGGAGGAACAGCAGCAGCAGGAGGAACAGCAGCAGCAGGAGGAACAGCAGCAGCAGGAGGAACAGCAGCAGCAGGAGGAACAGCAGCAGCAGGAGGAACAGCAGCAGCAGGAGGAACAGCAGCAGCAGGAGGAACAGCAGCAGCAGGAGGAACAGCAGCAGCAGGAGGAACAGCAGCAGCAGGAGGAACAGCAGCAGCAGGAGGAACAGCAGCAGCAGGAGGAACAGCAGCAGCAGGAGGAACAGCAGCAGCAGGAGGAACAGCAGCAGCAGGAGGAACAGCAGCAGCAGGAGGAACAGCAGCAGCAGGAGGAACAGCAGCAGCAGGAGGAACAGCAGCAGCAGGAGGAACAGCAGCAGCAGGAGGAACAGCAGCAGCAGGAGGAACAGCAGCAGCAGGAGGAACAGCAGCAGCAGGAGGAACAGCAGCAGCAGGAGGAACAGCAGCAGCAGGAGGAACAGCAGCAGCAGGAGGAACAGCAGCAGCAGGAGGAACAGCAGCAGCAGGAGGAACAGCAGCAGCAGGAGGAACAGCAGCAGCAGGAGGAACAGCAGCAGCAGGAGGAACAGCAGCAGCAGGAGGAACAGCAGCAGCAGGAGGAACAGCAGCAGCAGGAGGAACAGCAGCAGCAGGAGGAACAGCAGCAGCAGGAGGAACAGCAGCAGCAGGAGGAACAGCAGCAGCAGGAGGAACAGCAGCAGCAGGAGGAACAGCAGCAGCAGGAGGAACAGCAGCAGCAGGAGGAACAGCAGCAGCAGGAGGAACAGCAGCAGCAGGAGGAACAGCAGCAGCAGGAGGAACAGCAGCAGCAGGAGGAACAGCAGCAGCAGGAGGAACAGCAGCAGCAGGAGGAACAGCAGCAGCAGGAGGAACAGCAGCAGCAGGAGGAACAGCAGCAGCAGGAGGAACAGCAGCAGCAGGAGGAACAGCAGCAGCAGGAGGAACAGCAGCAGCAGGAGGAACAGCAGCAGCAGGAGGAACAGCAGCAGCAGGAGGAACAGCAGCAGCAGGAGGAACAGCAGCAGCAGGAGGAACAGCAGCAGCAGGAGGAACAGCAGCAGCAGGAGGAACAGCAGCAGCAGGAGGAACAGCAGCAGCAGGAGGAACAGCAGCAGCAGGAGGAACAGCAGCAGCAGGAGGAACAGCAGCAGCAGGAGGAACAGCAGCAGCAGGAGGAACAGCAGCAGCAGGAGGAACAGCAGCAGCAGGAGGAACAGCAGCAGCAGGAGGAACAGCAGCAGCAGGAGGAACAGCAGCAGCAGGAGGAACAGCAGCAGCAGGAGGAACAGCAGCAGCAGAGGAACAGCAGCAGCAGGAGGAACAGCAGCAGCAGGAGGAACAGCAGCAGCAGGAGGAACAGCAGCAGCAGGAGGAACAGCAGCAGCAGGAGGAACAGCAGCAGCAGGAGGAACAGCAGCAGCAGGAGGAACAGCAGCAGCAGGAGGAACAGCAGCCGCAGGAGGAACAGCAGCAGCAGGAGGAACAGCAGCAGCAGGTAGGAACAGCAGCAGCAGGAGGAACAGCAGCAGCAGGAGGAACAGCAGCAGCAGGAGGAACAGCAGCAGCAGGAGGAACAGCAGCAGCAGGCGGACCAGCAGCAGCAGGAGGAACAGCAGCAGCAGAGAACAGCAGCAGCAGGAGGAACAGCAGCAGCAGGAGTAACAGCAGCAGCAGGAGGAACAGCAGCAGCAGGAGGAACAGCAGCAGCAGGAGGAACAGCAGCAGCAGGAGGAACAGCAGCAGCAGGAGGAACAGCAGCAGCAGGAGGAAACAGCAGCAGCAGGAGGAACAGCAGCAGCAGGAGGAACAGCAGCAGCAGGAGGCACAGCAGCAGCAGGAGGAACAGCAGCAGCAGGAGGAACAGCAGCAGCAGGAGGAACAGCAGCAGCAGGAGGAACAGCAGCAGCAGGAGGAACAGCAGCAGCAGGAGGAACAGCAGCAGCAGGAGGAACAGCAGCAGCAGGAGGAACAGCAGCAGCAGGAGGAACAGCAGCAGCAGGAGGAACAGCAGCAGCAGGAGAACAGCAGCAGCAGGAGGAACAGCAGCAGCAGGAGGAACAGCAGCAGCAGGAGGAACAGCAGCAGCAGGAGGAACAGCAGCAGCAGGAGGAACAGCAGCAGCAGGAGGAACAGCAGCAGCAGGAGGAACAGCAGCAGCAGGAGGAACAGCAGCAGCAGGAGGAACAGCAGCAGCAGGAGGAACAGCAGCAGCAGGAGGAACAGCAGCAGCAGGAGGAACAGCAGCAGCAGGAGGAACAGCAGCAGCAGGAGGAACAGCAGCAGCAGGAGGAACAGCAGCAGCAGGAGGAACAGCAGCAGCAGGAGGAACAGCAGCAGCAGGAGGAACAGCAGCAGCAGGAGGAACAGCAGCAGCAGGAGGAACAGCAGCAGCAGGAGGAACAGCAGCAGCAGGAGGAACAGCAGCAGCAGGAGGAACAGCAGCAGCAGGAGGAACAGCCGCAGCAGGAGGAACAGCAGCAGCAGGAGGAACAGCAGCAGCAGGAGGAACAGCAGCAGCAGGAGGAACAGCAGCAGCAGGAGGAACAGCAGCAGCAGGAGGAACAGCAGCAGCAGGAGGAACAGCAGCAGCAGGAGGAACAGCAGCAGCAGGAGGAACAGCAGCAGCAGGAGGAACAGCAGCAGCAGGAGGAACAGCAGCAGCAGGAGGAACAGCAGCAGCAGGAGGACACAGCAGCAGCAGGAGGAACAGCAGCAGCAGGAGGAACAGCAGCAGCAGGAGGAACAGCAGCAGCAGGAGGAAACAGCAGCAGCAGCGAGCAACAGCAGCAGCAGGAGGAACAGCAGCAGCAGGAGGAACAGCAGCAGAGCAGCAGGAGGAACAGCAGCAGCAGGAGGAACAGCAGCAGCAGGAGGAACAGCAGCAGCAGGAGGAACAGCAGCAGCAGGAGGAACAGCAGCAGCAGGAGGAACAGCAGCAGCAGGAGGAACAGCAGCAGCAGGAGGAACAGCAGCAGCAGGAGGAACAGCAGCAGCAGGAGGACAGCAGCAGCAGGAGGAACAGCAGCAGCAGAGGAACAGCAGCAGCAGGAGGAACAGCAGCAGCAGGAGGAACAGCAGCAGCAGGAGGAACAGAGCAGCAGCAGAGGAGAACAGCAGCAGCAGGAGGAACAGCAGCAGCAGGAGGAACAGCAGCAGCAGGAGGAACAGCAGCAGCAGGAGGAACAGCAGCAGCAGGAGGAACAGCAGCAGCAGGAAGGAACAGCAGCAGCAGGAGGAACAGCAGCAGCAGGAGGAACAGCAGCAGCAGGAGGAACAGCAGCAGCAGGAGGAACAGCAGCAGCAGGAGGAACAGCAGCAGCAGGAGGAACAGCAGCAGCAGGAGGAACAGCAGCAGCAGGGACAGCAGCAGGAGGAACAGCAGCAGCAGGAGGAACAGCAGCAGCAGGAGGAACAGCAGCAGCAGGAGGAACAGCAGCAGCAGGAGGAACAGCAAGCAGCAGGAGGAACAGCAGCAGCAGGAGGAACAGCAGCAGCAGGAGGAAACAGCAGCAGCAGGAGGAACAGCAGCAGCAGGAGGAACAGCAGCAGCAGGAGGAACAGCAGCAGCAGGAGGAACAGCAGCAGCAGGAGGAACAGCAGCAGCAGGAGGAACAGCAGCAGCAGAGGAACAGCAGCAGCAGGAGGAACAGCAGCAGCAGGAGGAACAGCAGCAGCAGGAGGAACAGCAGCAGCAGGAGGAACAGCAGCAGCAGGAGGACAGCAGCAGCAGGAGGAACAGCAGCAGCAGGAGGAACAGCAGCAGCAGGAGGAACAGCAGCAGCAGGAGGAACAGCAGCAGCAGGAGGAACAGCAGCAGCAGGAGGAAACAGCAGCAGCAGGAGGAACAGCAGCAGCAGGAGGAACAGCAGCAGCAGGAGGAACAGCAGCAGCAGGAGGAACAGCAGCAGCAGGAGGAACAGCAGCAGCAGGAAGGAACAGCAGCAGCAGGAGGAACAGCAGCAGCAGGGAGGAACAGCAGCAGCAGGAGGAACAGCAGCAGCAGGAGGAACAGCAGCAGCAGGAGGAACAGCAGCAGCAGGAGGAACAGCAGCAGCAGGAGGAACAGCAGCAGCAGGAGGAACAGCAGCAGCAGGAGGAACAGCAGCAGCAGGAGGAACAGCAGCAGCAGGAGGAACAGCAGCAGCAGGAGGAACAGCAGCAGCAGGAGGAACAGCAGCAGCAGGAGGAACAGCAGCAGCAGGAGGAACAGCAGCAGCAGGAGGAACAGCAGCAGCAGGAGGAACAGCAGCAGCAGGAGGAACAGCAGCAGCAGGAGGAACAGCAGCAGCAGGAGGAACAGCAGCAGCAGGAGGAACAGCAGCAGCAGGAGGAACAGCAGCAGCAGGAGGAACAGCAGCAGCAGGAGGAACAGCAGCAGCAGGAGGAACAGCAGCAGCAGGAGGAACAGCAGCAGCAGGAGGAACAGCAGCAGCAGGAGGAACAGCAGCAGCAGGAGGAACAGCAGCAGCAGGAGGAACAGCAGCAGCAGGAGGAACAGCAGCAGCAGGAGGAACAGCAGCAGCAGGAGGAACAGCAGCAGCAGGAGGAACAGCAGCAGCAGGAGGAACAGCAGCAGCAGGAGGAACAGCAGCAGCAGGAGGAACAGCAGCAGCAGGAGGAACAGCAGCAGCAGGAGGAACAGCAGCAGCAGGAGGAACAGCAGCAGCAGGAGGAACAGCAGCAGCAGGAGGAACAGCAGCAGCAGGAGGAACAGCAGCAGCAGGAGGAACAGCAGCAGCAGGAGGAACAGCAGCAGCAGGAGGAACAGCAGCAGCAGGAGGAACAGCAGCAGCAGGAGGAACAGCAGCAGCAGGAGGAACAGCAGCAGCAGGAGGAACAGCAGCAGCAGGAGGAACAGCAGCAGCAGGAGGAACAGCAGCAGCAGGAGGAACAGCAGCAGCAGGAGGAACAGCAGCAGCAGGAGGAACAGCAGCAGCAGGAGGAACAGCAGCAGCAGGAGGAACAGCAGCAGCAGGAGGAACAGCAGCAGCAGGAGGAACAGCAGCAGCAGGAGGAACAGCAGCAGCAGGAGGAACAGCAGCAGCAGGAGGAACAGCAGCAGCAGCAGCAGGAGGAACAGCAGCAGCAGGAGGAACAGCAGCAGCAGGAGGAACAGCAGCAGCAGGAGGAACAGCAGCAGCAGGAGGAACAGCAGCAGCAGGAGGAACAGCAGCAGCAGGAGGAAACAGCAGCAGCAGGAGGAACAGCAGCAGCAGGAGGAACAGCAGCAGCAGGAGGAACAGCAGCAGCAGGAGGAACAGCAGCAGCAGGAACAGCAGCAGAGGAGGAACAGCAGCAGCAGGAGGAACAGCAGCAGCAGGAGGAACAGCAGCAGCAGGAGGAACAGCAGCAGCAGGAGGAACAGCAGCAGCAGGAGGAACAGCAGCAGCAGGAGGAACAGCAGCAGCAGGATGAACAGCAGCAGCAGGAGGAACAGCAGCAGCAGGAGGAACAGCAGCAGCAGGAGGAACAGCAGCAGCAGGAAGGAACAGCAGCAGCAGGAGGAACAGCAGCAGCAGGAGGAACAGCAGCAGCAGGAGGAACAGCAGCAGCAGGAGGAACAGCAGCAGCAGGAGGAACAGCAGCAGCAGGAGGAACAGCAGCAGCAGGAGGAACAGCAGCAGCAGGAGGAGAACAGCAGCAGCAGGAGGAACAGCAGCAGCAGGAGGAACAGCAGCAGCAGGAGGAACAGCAGCAGCAGGAGGAACAGCAGCAGCAGGAGGAACCAGCAGCAGCAGGATGGCACAGCAGGCAGGCAGGAGGAACAGCAGCAGCAGGAGGAACAGCAGCAGCAGGAGGAACAGCAGCAGCAGGAGGAACAGCAGCAGCAGGAGGAACAGCAGCAGCAGGAGGAACAGCAGCAGCAGGAGGAACAGCAGCAGCAGGCGGCACAGCAGCAGCAGGAGGAACAGCAGCAGCAGGAGGAACAGCAGCAGCAGGAGTAACAGCAGCAGAAGGAGGAACAGCAGCAGCAGAGGAACAGCAGCAGCAGGAGGAACAGCAGCAGCAGGAGGAACAGCAGCAGCAGGAGGAACAGCAGCAGCAGGAGGAACAGCAGCAGCAGGAGGAAACAGCAGCAAGAGGAGGAACAGCAGCAGCAGGAGGAAACAGCAGCAGCAGGAGGAACAGCAGCAGCAGAGGAGGAACAGCAGCAGCAGGAGGAACAGCAGCAGCAGGAGGAACAGCAGCAGCAGGAGGAACAGCAGCAGCAGGAGGAACAGCAGCAGCAGGAGGACAGCAGCAGCAGGAGGAACAGCAGCAGCAGGAGGAACAGCAGCAGCAGGAGGAACAGCAGCAGCAGGAGGAACAGCAGCAGCAGGAGGAACAGCAGCAGCAGGAGGAACAGCAGCAGCAGGAGGAACAGCAGCAGCAGGAGGAACAGCAGCAGCAGGAGGAACAGCAGCAGCAGGAGGAACAGCAGCAGCAGGAGGAACAGCAGCAGCAGGAGGAACAGCAGCAGCAGGAGGAACAGCAGCAGCAGGAGGAACAGCAGCAGCAGGAGGAACAGCAGCAGCAGGAGGAACAGCAGCAGCAGGAGGAACAGCAGCAGCAGGAGGAACAGCAGCAGCAGGAGGAACAGCAGCAGCAGGAGGAAACAGCAGCAGCAGGAGGAACAGCAGCAGCAGGAGGAACAGCAGCAGCAGGAGGAACAGCAGCAGCAGGAGGAACAGCAGCAGCAGGAGGAACAGCAGCAGCAGGAGGAACAGCAGCAGCAGGAGGAACAGCAGCAGCAGGAAGGAACAGCAGCAGCAGGAGGAACAGCAGCAGCAGGAGGAACAGCAGCAGCAGGAGGAACAGCAGCAGCAGGCAGGAACAGCAGCAGCAGGAGGAACAGCAGCAGCAGGAGGAACAGCAGCAGCAGGAGGAACAGCAGCAGCAGGAGGAACAGCAGCAGCAGGAGGAACAGCAGCAGCAGGAGGAACAGCAGCAGCAGGAGGAACAGCAGCAGCAGGAGGAACAGCAGCAGCAGGAGGAACAGCAGCAGCAGGATGAACAGCAGCAGCAGGAGGAACAGCAGCAGCAGGAGGAACAGCAGCAGCAGGAGGAACAGCAGCAGCAGGAGGAACAGCAGCAGCAGGAGGAACAGCAGCAGCAGGAGGAACAGCAGCAGCAGGAGGAACAGCAGCAGCAGGAGGAAACAGCAGCAGCAGGAGGAACAGCAGCAGCAGGAGGAACAGCAGCAGCAGGAGGAACAGCAGCAGCAGGAGGAACCGCAGAGGAACAGCAGCAGCAGGAAGGGGAACAGCAGCAGCAGGAGGAACAGCAGCAGCAGGAGGAACAGCAGCAGCAGGAGGAACAGCAGCAGCAGGAGGAACAGCAGCAGCAGGAGGAACAGCAGCAGCAGGAGGAACAGCAGCAGAAGGAGGAACAGCAAGCAGCAGGAGGAACAGCAGCAGCAGGAGGAACAGCAGCAGCAGGAGGAACAGCAGCAGCCAGCAGGAGGAACAAGCAGCAAGCAGCAGCAGGAGGAACAGCAGCAGCAGGAGGAACAGCAGCAGCAGGAGGAACAGCAGCAGCAGGAGGAACAGCAGCAGCAGGAGGAACAGCAGCAGCAGGAGGAACAGCAGCAGCAGGAGGAACAGCAGCAGCAGGAGGAAACAGCAGCAGCAGGAGGAACAGCAGCAGCAGGAGGAACAGCAGCAGCAGGAGGAACAGCAGCAGCAGGAGGAAACAGCAGCAGCAGGAGGAACAGCAGCAGCAGGAGGAACAGCAGCAGCAGGAGGAACAGCAGCAGCAGGAGGAACAGCCCACGCAGCAGGGAGGAACAGCAGCAGCAGGAGGAACAGCAGCAGCAGCAGCAGGTAGGAACAGCAGCAGCAGGAGGAACAGCAGCAGCAGGAGGAACAGCAGCAGCAGGAGAACAGCAGCAGCAGGAGGAACAGCAGCAGCAGGAGGAACAGCAGCAGCAGCAGGAGGAACAGCAGCAGCAGGAGAACAGCAGCAGCAGGAGGAACAGCAGCAGCAGGAGGAACAGCAGCAGCAGGAGGAACAGCAGCAGCAGGAGAACAGCAGCAGCAGGAGGAACAGCAGCAGCAGGAGGAACAGCAGCAGCAGGAGGAACAGCAGCAGCAGGAGGAACAGCAGGACAGCAGCAGCAGGAGGAACAGCAGCAGCAGGAGGAACAGCAGCAGCAGGAGGAACAGCAGCAGCAGGAGAACAGCAGCAGCAGGAGGAACAGCAGCAGCAGGAGGAACAGCAGCAGCAGGAGGAACAGCAGCAGCAGGAGGAACAGCAGCAGCAGGAGGAACAGCAGCAGCAGGAGGAACAGCAGCAGCAGGAGGAACAGCAGCAGCAGGAGGAACAGCAGCAGCAGGAGGAACAGCAGCAGCAGCAGGAGGAACAGCAGCAGCAGGAGGAACAGCAGCAGCAGGAGGAACAGCAGCAGCAGGAGGAACAGCAGCAGCAGGATGACCAGCAGCAGCAGGAGGAACAGCAGCAGCAGGAGGAACAGCAGCAGCAGGAGGAACAGCAGCAGCAGGAGGAACAGCAGCAGCAGGAGGAACAGCAGCAGCAGGAGGAACAGCAGCAGCGGAGGAACAGCAGCAGCAGGAGGAACAGCAGCAGCAGGAGGAACAGCAGCAGCAGGAGGAACAGCAGCAGCAGGAGGAACAGCAGCAGCAGGAGAACAGCAGCAGCAGGAGGAACAGCAGCCAGCAGGAGGAACAGCAGCAGCAGGAGGAAAGCAGCACGCAGGAGGAACAGCAGCAGCAGGAGGAACAGCAGCAGCAGGAGGAACAGCAGCAGCAGGAGGAACAGCAGCAGCAGGAGGAACAGCAGCAGCAGGAGGAAGAGCAGCAGCAGGAGGAACAGCAGCAGCAGGAGGAACAGCAGCAGCAGGAGGAACAGCAGCAGCAGGAGGAACAGCAGCAGCAGGAGGAACAGCAGCAGCAGGAGGAACAGCAGCAGCAGGAGGAACAGCAGCAGCAGGAGGAACAGCAGCAGCAGGAGGAACAGCAGCAGCAGGAGGAACAGCAGCAGCAGGAGGAACAGCAGCAGCAGGAGGAACAGCAGCAGCAGGAGGAACAGCAGCAGCAGGAGGAACAGCAGCAGCAGGAGGAACAGCAGCAGCAGGAGGAACAGCAGCAGCAGGAGGAACAGCAGCAGCAGGAGGAACAGCAGCAGCAGGAGGAACAGCAGCAGCAGGAGGAACAGCAGCAGCAGGAGGAACAGCAGCAGCAGGAGGAACAGCAGCAGCAGGAGGAACAGCAGCAGCAGGAGGAACAGCAGCAGCAGGAGGAACAGCAGCAGCAGCAGCAGGAGGAACAGCAGCAGCAGGAGGAACAGCAGCAGCAGGAGGAACAGCAGCAGCAGGAGGAACAGCAGCAGCAGGAGGAACAGCAGCAGCAGGAGGAACAGCAGCAGCAGGAGGAACAGCAGCAGCAGGAGGAACAGCAGCAGCAGGAGGAACAGCAGCAGCAGGAGGAACAGCAGCAGCAGGAGGAACAGCAGCAGCAGCAGCAGGAGGAACAGCAGCAGCAGGAGGAACAGCAGCAGCAGCAGCAGGAGGAACAGCAGCAGCAGGAGGAACAGCAGCAGCAGGAGGAACAGCAGCAGCAGGAGGAACAGCAGCAGCAGGAGGAACAGCAGCAGCAGGAGGAACAGCAGCAGCAGGAGGAACAGCAGCAGCAGGAGGAACAGCAGCAGCAGGAGGAACAGCAGCAGCAGGAGGAACAGCAGCAGCAGCAGCAGGAGGAACAGCAGCAGCAGGAGGAACAGCAGCAGCAGGAGGAACAGCAGCAGCAGGAGGAACAGCAGCAGCAGGAGGAACAGCAGCAGCAGGAGGAACAGCAGCAGCAGGAGGAACAGCAGCAGCAGGAGGAACAGCAGCAGCAGGAGGAACAGCAGCAGCAGGAGGAACAGCAGCAGCAGCAGCAGGAGGAACAGCAGCAGCAGGAGGAACAGCAGCAGCAGCAGCAGGAGGAACAGCAGCAGCAGGAGGAACAGCAGCAGCAGGAGGAACAGCAGCAGCAGGAGGAACAGCAGCAGCAGGAGGAACAGCAGCAGCAGGAGGAACAGCAGCAGCAGGAGGAACAGCAGCAGCAGGAGGAACAGCAGCAGCAGGAGGAACAGCAGCAGCAGGAGGAACAGCAGCAGCAGGAGGAACAGCAGCAGCAGGAGGAACAGCAGCAGCAGGAGGAACAGCAGCAGCAGGAGGAACAGCAGCAGCAGGAGGAACAGCAGCAGCAGGAGGAACAGCAGCAGCAGGAGGAACAGCAGCAGCAGGAGGAACAGCAGCAGCAGGAGGAACAGCAGCAGCAGGAGGAACAGCAGCAGCAGGAGGAACAGCAGCAGCAGGAGGAACAGCAGCAGCAGGAGGAACAGCAGCAGCAGGAGGAACAGCAGCAGCAGGAGGAACAGCAGCAGCAGGAGGAACAGCAGCAGCAGGAGGAACAGCAGCAGCAGGAGGAACAGCAGCAGCAGGAGGAACAGCAGCAGCAGGAGGAACAGCAGCAGCAGGAGGAACAGCAGCAGCAGGAGGAACAGCAGCAGCAGGAGGAACAGCAGCAGCAGGAGGAACAGCAGCAGCAGGAGGAACAGCAGCAGCAGGAGGAACAGCAGCAGCAGCAGCAGGAGGAACAGCAGCAGCAGGAGGAACAGCAGCAGCAGGAGGAACAGCAGCAGCAGCAGCAGCAGCAGCAGCAGGAGGAACAGCAGCAGCAGGAGGAACAGCAGCAGCAGGAGGAACAGCAGCAGCAGGAGGAACAGCAGCAGCAGGAGGAACAGCAGCAGCAGGAGGAACAGCAGCAGCAGGAGGAACAGCAGCAGCAGGAGGAACAGCAGCAGCAGGAGGAACAGCAGCAGCAGCAGCAGCAGCAGCAGGAGGAACAGCAGCAGCAGGAGGAACAGCAGCAGCAGGAGGAACAGCAGCAGCAGGAGGAACAGCAGCAGCAGGAGGAACAGCAGCAGCAGGAGGAACAGCAGCAGCAGGAGGAACAGCAGCAGCAGGAGGAACAGCAGCAGCAGGAGGAACAGCAGCAGCAGGAGGAACAGCAGCAGCAGGAGGAACAGCAGCAGCAGGAGGAACAGCAGCAGCAGGAGGAACAGCAGCAGCAGGAGGAACAGCAGCAGCAGGAGGAACAGCAGCAGCAGGAGGAACAGCAGCAGCAGGAGGAACAGCAGCAGCAGGAGGAACAGCAGCAGCAGGAGGAACAGCAGCAGCAGGAGGAACAGCAGCAGCAGGAGGAACAGCAGCAGCAGGAGGAACAGCAGCAGCAGGAGGAACAGCAGCAGCAGGAGGAACAGCAGCAGCAGGAGGAACAGCAGCAGCAGGAGGAACAGCAGCAGCAGGAGGAACAGCAGCAGCAGGAGGAACAGCAGCAGCAGGAGGAACAGCAGCAGCAGGAGGAACAGCAGCAGCAGGAGGAACAGCAGCAGCAGGAGGAACAGCAGCAGCAGGAGGAACAGCAGCAGCAGGAGGAACAGCAGCAGCAGGAGGAACAGCAGCAGCAGGAGGAACAGCAGCAGCAGGAGGAACAGCAGCAGCAGGAGGAACAGCAGCAGCAGCAGCAGGAGGAACAGCAGCAGCAGGAGGGAACAGCAGCAGCAGGAGGAACAGTCAGCAGCAGGAGGAACAGCAGCAGCAGGAGGAACAGCAGCAGCAGGAGGAACAGCAGCAGCAGGAGGAACAGCAGCAGCAGCAGGAGGAACAGCAGCAGCAGGAGGAGAACAGCAGCAGCAGGAGGAACAGCAGCAGCAGGAGGAACAGCAGCAGCAGGAGGAACAGCAGCAGCAGGAGGAAACAGCAGCAGCAGGAGGAACAGCAGCAGCAGGAGGAACCGCAGCAGCAGGAGGAACAGCAGCAGCAGGAGGAACAGCAGCAGCAGGAGGAAACAGCAGCAGCAGCAGCAGGAGGGAACAGCAGCAGCAGGAGGAACAGCAGCAGCATGAGACGGAGGAACAGCAGCAGCAGGAGGAACAGCAGCAGCAGGAGGAACAGCAGCAGCAGGAGGAACAGCAGCAGCAGGAGGAACAGCAGCAGCAGGAGGAACAGCAGCAGCAGGAGGAACAGCAGCAGCAGGAGGAACAGCAGCAGCAGCAGCAGGAGGAACAGCAGCAGCAGGAGGAACAGCAGCAGCAGGAGGAACAGCAGCAGCAGGAGGAACAGCAGCAGCAGGAGGAACAGCAGCAGCAGGAGGAACAGCAGCAGCAGGAGGAACAGCAGCAGCAGGAGGAACAGCAGCAGCAGGAGGAACAGCAGCAGCAGGAGGAACAGCAGCAGCAGCAGCAGGAGGAACAGCAGCAGCAGGAGGAACAGCAGCAGCAGGAGGAACAGCAGCAGCAGGAGGAACAGCAGCAGCAGGAGGAACAGCAGCAGCAGGAGGAACAGCAGCAGCAGGAGGAACAGCAGCAGCAGGAGGAACAGCAGCAGCAGGAGGAACAGCAGCAGCAGGAGGAACAGCAGCAGCAGCAGCAGGAGGAACAGCAGCAGCAGGAGGAACAGCAGCAGCAGGAGGAACAGCAGCAGCAGGAGGAACAGCAGCAGCAGGAGGAACAGCAGCAGCAGGAGGAACAGCAGCAGCAGCAGCAGGAGGAACAGCAGCAGCAGGAGGAACAGCAGCAGCAGGAGGAACAGCAGCAGCAGGAGGAACAGCAGCAGCAGGAGGAACAGCAGCAGCAGGAGGAACAGCAGCAGCAGGAGGAACAGCAGCAGCAGGAGGAACAGCAGCAGCAGGAGGAACAGCAGCAGCAGGAGGAACAGCAGCAGCAGGAGGAACAGCAGCAGCAGCAGCAGGAGGAACAGCAGCAGCAGGAGGAACAGCAGCAGCAGGAGGAACAGCAGCAGCAGGAGGAACAGCAGCAGCAGGAGGAACAGCAGCAGCAGGAGGAACAGCAGCAGCAGGAGGAACAGCAGCAGCAGGAGGAACAGCAGCAGCAGGAGGAACAGCAGCAGCAGGAGGAACAGCAGCAGCAGCAGCAGGAGGAACAGCAGCAGCAGGAGGAACAGCAGCAGCAGGAGGAACAGCAGCAGCAGGAGGAACAGCAGCAGCAGGAGGAACAGCAGCAGCAGGAGGAACAGCAGCAGCAGGAGGAACAGCAGCAGCAGGAGGAACAGCAGCAGCAGGAGGAACAGCAGCAGCAGGAGGAACAGCAGCAGCAGCAGCAGGAGGAACAGCAGCAGCAGGAGGAACAGCAGCAGCAGGAGGAACAGCAGCAGCAGGAGGAACAGCAGCAGCAGGAGGAACAGCAGCAGCAGGAGGAACAGCAGCAGCAGCAGCAGGAGGAACAGCAGCAGCAGCAGCAGGAGGAACAGCAGCAGCAGGAGGAACAGCAGCAGCAGGAGGAACAGCAGCAGCAGGAGGAACAGCAGCAGCAGGAGGAACAGCAGCAGCAGGAGGAACAGCAGCAGCAGGAGGAACAGCAGCAGCAGGAGGAACAGCAGCAGCAGGAGGAACAGCAGCAGCAGCAGCAGGAGGAACAGCAGCAGCAGCAGCAGGAGGAACAGCAGCAGCAGGAGGAACAGCAGCAGCAGGAGGAACAGCAGCAGCAGGAGGAACAGCAGCAGCAGGAGGAACAGCAGCAGCAGGAGGAACAGCAGCAGCAGGAGGAACAGCAGCAGCAGGAGGAACAGCAGCAGCAGGAGGAACAGCAGCAGCAGGAGGAACAGCAGCAGCAGGAGGAACAGCAGCAGCAGGAGGAACAGCAGCAGCAGGAGGAACAGCAGCAGCAGGAGGAACAGCAGCAGCAGGAGGAACAGCAGCAGCAGGAGGAACAGCAGCAGCAGGAGGAACAGCAGCAGCAGGAGGAACAGCAGCAGCAGGAGGAACAGCAGCAGCAGGAGGAACAGCAGCAGCAGGAGGAACAGCAGCAGCAGGAGGAACAGCAGCAGCAGGAGGAACAGCAGCAGCAGGAGGAACAGCAGCAGCAGGAGGAACAGCAGCAGCAGGAGGAACAGCAGCAGCAGGAGGAACAGCAGCAGCAGGAGGAACAGCAGCAGCAGGAGGAACAGCAGCAGCAGGAGGAACAGCAGCAGCAGGAGGAACAGCAGCAGCAGGAGGAACAGCAGCAGCAGGAGGAACAGCAGCAGCAGGAGGAACAGCAGCAGCAGGAGGAACAGCAGCAGCAGGAGGAACAGCAGCAGCAGGAGGAACAGCAGCAGCAGGAGGAACAGCAGCAGCAGGAGGAACAGCAGCAGCAGGAGGAACAGCAGCAGCAGGAGGAACAGCAGCAGCAGGCGGAACAGCAGCAGCAGGAGGAACAGCAGCAGCAGGAGGAACAGCAGCAGCAGGAGGAACAAGCAGCAGCAGGAGGAACAGCAGCAGCAGGAGGAACAGCCAGCAGGCAGGAGGAACAGCAGCAGCAGGAGGAACAGCAGCAGCAGGAGGAACAGCAGCAGCAGGAGGAACAGCAGCAGCAGGAGGAACAGCAGCAGCAGGAGGAACAGCAGCAGCAGGAGGAACAGCAGCAGCAGGAGGAACAGCAGCAGCAGGAGGAACAGCAGCAGCAGGAGGAACAGCAGCAGCAGGAGGAACAGCAGCAGCAGGAGGAACAGCAGCAGCAGGAGGAACAGCAGCAGCAGGAGGAACAGCAGCAGCAGGAGGAACAGCAGCAGCAGGAGGAACAGCAGCAGGATGAACAGCAGCAGCAGGAGGAACAGCAGCAGCAGGAGGAACAGCAGCAGCAGGAGGAACAGCAGCAGCAGGAGGAACAGCAGCAGCAGGAGGAACAGCAGCAGCAGGAGGAACAGCAGCAGCAGGAGGAACAGCAGCAGCAGGAGGAACAGCAGCAGCAGGAGAACAGCAGCAGCAGGAGAACAGCAGCAGCAGGAGGAACGCAGCAGCAGCAAGCAGGAGGGAACAGCAGCAGCAGGAGGAACAGCAGCAGCAGGAGGAACAGCAGCAGCAGGAGGAAACAGCAGCAGCAGGAGGAACAGCAGCAGCAGGAGGAACAGCAGCAGCAGGAGGAACAGCAGCAGCAGGAGGAACAGCAGCAGCAGGAGGAACAGCAGCAGCAGGAGGAACAGCAGCAGCAGGAGGAACAGCAGCAGCAGGAGGAACAAGCAGCAGCAGGAGGAACAGCAGCAGCAGGAGGAACAGCAGCAGCAGGAGGAACAAGCAGCAGCAGGAGGAACAGCAGCAGCAGGAGGAACAGCAGCAGCAGGAGGAACAGCAGCAGCAGGCAGGAAACAGCAGCAGCAGGAGGAACAGCAGCAGCAGGAGGAACAGCAGCAGCAGGAGGAACAGCAGCAGCAGGAGGAACAGCAGCAGCAGGAGGAACAGCAGCAGCAGGAGGAACAGCAGCAGCAGGAGGAACAGCAGCAGCAGGAGGAACAGCAGCAGCAGGAGGAAAGCAGCAGCAGGAGGAACAGCAGCAGCAGGAGGAACAGCATGCAGCAGGAGGAACACTCAGCAGCAGGAGGAGAACAGCAGCAGCAGGAGGAACAGCAGCAGCAGCAGGAGGAACAGCAGCAGCAGGAAGGAACAGCAGCAGCAGGAGGAACAGCAGCAGCGGAGGAACAGCAGCAGCAGGAGGAACAGCAGCAGCAGGAGGAACCAGCAGCAGCAGGAGGAACAGCAGCAGCAGGAGGAACAGGCAGCCAGCAGGAGGAACAGCACGGCAGCAGGAGGAACAGCAGCAGCAGGAGGAACAGCAGCAGCAGGAGGAACAGCAGCAGCAGGAGGAACAGCAGCAGCAGCAGCAGGAGGAACAGGCAGCAGCAGGAGGAACAGCAGCAGCAGGAGGAACAGCAGCAGCAGGAGGAACAGCAGCAGCAGGAGGAACAGCAGCAGCAGGAGGAACAGCAGCAGCAGGAGGAACAGCAGCAGCAGCAGCAGGAGGAACAGCAGCAGCAGGAGGAACAGCAGCAGCAGGAGGAACAGCAGCAGCAGGAGGAACAGCAGCAGCAGGAGGAACAGCAGCAGCAGGAGGAACAGCAGCAGCAGGAGGAACAGCAGCAGCAGGAGGAACAGCAGCAGCAGGAGGAACAGCAGCAGCAGGAGGAACAGCAGCAGCAGGGACAGCAGAGAGGAACAGCAGCAGCAGGAGGAACAGCAGCAGCAGGAGGAACAGCAGCAGCAGGAGGAACAGCAGCAGCAGGAGGAAACAGCAGCAGCAGGAGGAACAGCAGCAGCAGGAGGAACAGCAGCAGCAGGAGGAACAGCAGCAGCAGAGGAACAGCAGCAGCAGGAGGAACAGCAGCAGCAGGAGGAACAGCAGCAGCAGGAGGAACAGCAGCAGCAGCAGGAGGAACAGCAGCAGCAGGAGGAACAGCAGCAGCAGGAGGAACAGCAGCAGCAGGAGGAACAGCAGCAGCAGGAGGAACAGCAGCAGCAGGAGGAACAGCAGCAGCAGGAGGAACAGCAGCAGCAGGAGGAACAGCAGCAGCAGGAGGAACAGCAGCAGCAGGAGGAACAGCAGCAGCAGGAGGACACAGCAGCAGCAGCAGCAGGAGGAACAGCAGCAGCAGGAGGAACAGCAGCAGCAGGAGGAACAGCAGCAGCAGCAGGAGGAACAGCAGCAGCAGGAGGAACAGCAGCAGCAGGAACAGCAGGCAGGGAACAGCAGCAGCAGGAGGAACAGCAGCAGCAGGAGGAACAGCAGCAGCAGGAGGAACAGCAGCAGCAGGAGGAACAGCAGCAGCAGGAGGAACAGCAGCAGCAGGAGGAACAGCAGCAGCAGGAGGAACAGCAGCAGCAGGAGGAACAGCAGCAGCAGGAGGAACAGCAGCAGCAGGAGGAACAGCAGCAGCAGGAGGAACAGCAGCAGCAGGAGGAACAGCAGCAGCAGGAGGAACAGCAGCAGCAGGAGGAACAGCAGCAGCAGGAGGAACAGCAGCAGCAGGAGAAACAGCAGCAGCAGGAGGAACAGCAGCAGCAGGAGGAACAGCAGCAGCAGGAGGAACAGCAGCAGCAGGAGGAACAGCAGCAGCAGGAGGAACAGCAGCAGCAGCAGCAGGAGGAACAGCAGCAGCAGGAGGAACAGCAGCAGCAGGAGGAACAGCAGCAGCAGGAGGAACAGCAGCAGCAGGAGGAACAGCAGCAGCAGCAGGAGGAACAGCAGCAGCAGGAGGAACAGCAGCAGCAGGAGGAACAGCAGCAGCAGGAGGAACAGCAGCAGCAGGAGGAACAGCAGCAGCAGGAGGAACAGCAGCAGCAGGAGGAACAGCAGCAGCAGGAGGAACAGCAGCAGCAGGAGGAACAGCAGCAGCAGGAGGAACAGCAGCAGCAGGAGGAACAGCAGCAGCAGGAGGAACAGCAGCAGCAGGAGGAACAGCAGCAGCAGGAGGAACAGCAGCAGCAGGAAGGAACAGCAGCAGCAGGAGGAACAGCAGCAGCAGGAGGAACAGCAGCAGCAGGAGGAACAGCAGCAGCAGGAGGAACAGCAGCAGCAGGAGGAACAGCAGCAGCAGGAGGAACAGCAGCAGCAGGAGGAACAGCAGCAGCAGGAGGAACAGCAGCAGCAGGAGGAACAGCAGCAGCAGCAGGAGGAACAGCAGCAGCAGGAGGAAACAGCAGCAGCAGGAGGAACAGCAGCAGCAGGAGGAACAGCAGCAGCAGGAGGAACAGCAGCAGCAGGAGGAACAGCAGCAGCAGGAGGAACAGCAGCAGCAGGAGGAACAGCAGCAGCAGGAGGAACAGCAGCAGCAGGAGGAACAGCAGCAGCAGGAGGAACAGCAGCAGCAGCAGGGAGGAACAGCAGCAGCAGGAGGAACAGCAGCAGCAGGAGGAACAGCAGCAGCAGGAGAAGCAGCAGCAGGAGGAACAGCAGCGCAGGAGGAACAGCAGCAGCAGGCAGGAACAGCAGCAGGCAGGAGAACAGCAGCAGCAGGAGGAACAGCAGCAGCAGGAGGAACAGCAGCAGCAGGAGGAACAGCAGCAGCAGGAGGAACAGCAGCAGCAGGAGGAACAGCAGCAGCAGGAGGAACAGCAGCAGCAGGAGGAACAGCAGCAGCAGGAGGAACAGCAGCAGCAGGAGGCACAGCAGCAGAGAGGAACAGCAGCAGCAGGAGGAACAGCAGCAGCAGGAGGAACAGCAGCAGCAGGAGGAACAGCAGCAGCAGGAGGAACAGCAGCAGCAGGAGGAACAGCAGCAGCAGGAGGAACAGCAGCAGCAGGAGGAACAGCAGCAGCAGGAGGAACAGCAGCAGCAGGAGGAACAGCAGCAGCAGGAGGAACAGCAGCAGCAGGAGGAACAGCAGCAGCAGGAGGAACAGCAGCAGCAGGAGGAACAGCAGCAGCAGGAGGAACAGCAGCAGCAGGAGGAAGAACAGCAGCAGCAGGAGGAACAGCAGCAGCAGGAGGAACAGCAGCAGCAGGAGGAACAGCAGCAGCAGGAGGAACAGCAGCAGCAGGAGGAACAGCAGACAGCCGGAGGAACAGCAGCAGCAGGAGGAACAGCAGCAGCAGGAGGAACAGCAGCAGCAGGAGGAACAGCAGCAGCAGGAGGAACAGCAGCAGCAGGAGGAACAGCAGCAGCAGGAGGAACAGCAGCAGCAGGAGGAACAGCAGCAGCAGGAGGAACAGCAGCAGCAGGAGGAACAGCAGCAGCAGGAGGAACAGCAGCAGCAGGAGGAACAGCAGCAGCAGGAGGACAGCAGCAGCAGAGGACAGCAGCAGCAGGAGAACAGCAGCAGCAGGAGGAACAGCAGCAGCAGGAGGAACAGCAGCAGCAGGAGGAACAGCAGCAGCAGGAGGAACAGCAGCAGCAGGAGGAACAGCAGCAGCAGGATGAACAGCAGCAGCAGGAGGAACAGCAGCAGCAGGAGGAACAGCAGCAGCAGGAGGAACAGCAGCAGCAGGAGGAACAGCAGCAGCAGGAGGAACATCAGCGCAGGAGGCAGCAGCAGCAGGAGGAACAGCAGCAGCAGGAGGAACAGCCAGCAGCAGGAGGAACAGCAGCAGCAGGCAGGAACAGCAGCAGCAGGAGGAACAGCAGCAGCAGGAGGAACAGCAGCAGCAGGAGGAACAGCAGCAGCAGGAGGAACAGCAGCAGCAGGAGGAACAGCAGCAGCAGAGGAACAGCAGCAGCAGGAGGAACAGCAGCAGCAGGAGGAAACAGCAGCAGCAGGAGGAACAGCAGCAGCAGGAGGAACAGCAGCAGCAGCAGGAGGAACAGCAGCAGCAGGAGGAACAGCAGCAGCAGGAGGAACAGCAGCAGCAGGAGGACAGCAGGAGGAACAGCAGCAGCAGGAGGAACAGCAGCAGCAGGAGGAACAGCAGCAGCAGGAGGAACAGCAGCAGCAGGAGGAACAGCAGCAGCAGGAGGAACAGCAGCAGCAGGAGGAACAGCAGCAGCAGGAGGAACAGCAGCAGCAGGAGGAACAGCAGCAGCAGGAGGAACAGCAGCAGCAGGAGGAACAGCAGCAGCAGGAGGAACAGCAGCAGCAGGAGGAACAGCAGCAGCAGGAGGAACAGCAGCAGCAGGAGGAAACAGCAGCAGCAGGAGGAACAGCAGCAGCAGGAGGAACAGCAGCAGCAGGAGAACAGCAGCAGCAGGAGGAACAGCAGCAGCAGGAGGAACAGCAGCAGCAGGAGGAACAGCAGCAGCAGGAGGAACAGCAGCAGCAGGAGGGAACAGCAGCAGCAGGAGGAACAGCAGCAGCAGGAGGAACAGCAGCAGCAGGAGGAACAGCAGCAGCAGGAGGAACAGCAGCAGCAGGAGGAACAGCAGCAGCAGGAGGAACAGCAGCAGCAGGAGGAACAGCCAGCGGCAGGGAACAGCAGCAGCAGGAGGAACAGCAGCAGCAGGAGGAACAGCAGCAGCAGGAGGAACAGCAGCAGCAGGAGGAACAGCAGCAGCAGGAGGAACAGCAGCAGCAGGAGGAACAGCAGCAGCAGGAGGAACAGCAGCAGCAGGAGGAACAGCCAGCAGCAGGAGGAACAGCAGCAGCAGGAGGAACAGCAGCAGCAGGAGGAACAGCAGCAGCAGGAGGAACAGCAGCAGCAGGAGGAACAGCAGCAGCAGGAGGAACAGCAGCAGCAGGAGGAACAGCAGCAGCAGGAGGAACAGCAGCAGCAGGAGGAACAGCAGCAGCAGGAGGAACAGCAGCAGCAGGAGGAACAGCAGCAGCAGGAGGAACAGCAGCAGCAGGAGGAACAGCAGCAGCAGGAGGAACAGCAGCAGCAGGAGGAACAGCAGCAGCAGGAGGAACAGCAGCAGCAGGAGGAACAGCAGCAGCAGGAGGAACAGCAGCAGCAGGAGGAACAGCAGCAGCAGGAGGAACAGCAGCAGCAGGAGGAAAGCAGCAGCAGCAGCAGGAGGAACAGCAGCAGCAGGAGGAACAGCAGCAGCAGGAGGAACAGCAGCAGCAGGAGGAACAGCAGCAGCAGGAGGAACAGCAGCAGCAGGAGGAACAGCAGCAGCAGGAGGAACAGCAGCAGCAGGAGGAACAGCAGCAGCAGGAGGAACAGCAGCAGCAGGAGGAACAGCAGCAGCAGGAGGAACAGCAGCAGCAGGAGGAACAGCAGCAGCAGGAGGAACAGCAGCAGCAGGAGGAACAGCAGCAGCAGGAGGAACAGCAGCAGTAGGAGGACAGCAGCAGCAGGAGGAACAGCAGCAGCAGGAGGAACAGCAGCAGCAGGAGGAACAGCAGCAGCAGGAGGAACAGGCAGCAGGGACAGCAGCAGCAGAGGAACAGCAGCAGCAGGAGGAACAGCAGCAGCAGGAGGAACAGCAGCAGCAGGAGGAACAGCAGCAGCAGGAGGAAAGCAGCAGCAGGAGGAACAGCAGCAGCAGGAGGAACAGCAGCAGCAGGAGGAACAGCAGCAGCAGGAGGAACAGCAGCAGCAGGAGGACAGCAGCAGCAGGAGGAACAGCAGCAGCAGGAGGAACAGCAGCAGCAGGAGGAACAGCAGCAGCAGGAGGAACAGCAGCAGCAGGAGGAACAGCCAGCAGCAGGAGGAACAGCAGCAGCAGGAGGAACAGCAGCAGCAGGAGGAACAGCCGCAGCAGGAGGAACAGCGAGCAGCAGGAGGAACAGCAGCAGCAGGAGGAACAGCAGCAGCAGGAGGAACAGCAGCAGCAGGAGGAACAGCAGCAGCAGGAGGAACAGCAGCAGCAGGAGGAACAGCAGCAGCAGGAGGACAGCAGCAGCAGGAGGAACAGCAGCAGCAGGAGGAACAGCAGCAGCAGGAGGAACAGCAGCAGCAGGAGGAACAGCAGCAGCAGGAGGAACAGCAGCAGCAGGAGGAACAGCAGCAGCAGGAGGAACAGCAGCAGCAGGAGGAACAGCAGCAGCAGGAAGGAACAGCAGCAGCAGGAGGAACAGCAGCAGCAGGAGGAACAGCAGCAGCAGGAGGAAACAGCAGCAGCAGGAGGAACAGCAGCAGCAGGAGGAACAGCAGCAGCAGGAGGAAACAGCAGCAGACAGCAGCGCAGGAGAACAGCAGCAGCAGGAGGAACAGCAGCAGCAGGAGGAACAGCAGCAGCAGGAGGAACAGCAGCAGCAGGAGGAACAGCAGCAGCAGGAGGAACAGCAGCAGCAGGAGGAACAGCAGCAGCAGGAGGAACAGCAGCAGCAGGAGAAACAGCAGCAGCAGGAGGAACAGCAGCAGCAGGAGGAACAGCAGCAGCAGGAGGAACAGCAGCAGCAGGAGGAACAGCAGCAGCAGGAGGAACAGCAGCAGCAGGAGGAACAGCAGCAGCAGGAGGAACAGCAGCAGCAGGAGGAACAGCAGCAGCAGGAGAACAGCAGCAGCAGGAGGAACAGCAGCAGCAGGAGGAACAGCAGCAGCAGGAGGAACAGCAGCAGCAGGAGGAACAGCAGCAGCAGGAGGAACAGCAGCAGCAGGAAGAACAGCAGCAGCAGGAGGACCAGCAGCAGCAGGAGGAACAGCAGCAGCAGGAGGAACAGCAGCAGCAGGAGGAACAGCAGCAGCAGGAGGAACAGCAAGCAGCAGGAGGAACAGCAAGCAGCAGGAGGAACAGCAGCAGCAGGAGGAACAGCAGCAGCAGGAGGAACAGCAGCAGCAGGAGGAACAGCAGAGCAGCAGGAGGAACAGCAGCAGCAGGAGGAACAGCAGCAGCAGGAGGAACAGCAGCAGCAGGAGGAACAGCAGCAGCAGGGAGGAAACAGCAGCAGCAGTGAGGAACAGCAGCAGCAGGAGGAACAGCAGCAGCAGGAGGAACAGCAGCAGCAGGAGGAACAGCAGCAGCAGGAGGAACAGCAGCAGCAGGAGGAACAGCAGCAGCAGGAGGAACAGCAGCAGCAGGAGGAACAGCAGCAGCAGGAGGAACAGCAGCAGCAGGAGGAACAGCAGCAGCAGGAGGAACAGCAGCAGCAGGAGGAACAGCAGCAGCAGGAGGAACAGCAGCAGCAGGAGGAACAGCAGCAGCAGGAGGAACAGCAGCAGCAGGAGGAACAGCAGCAGCAGGAGGAACAGCAGCAGCAGGAGGAACAGCAGCAGCAGGAGGAACAGCAGCAGCAGGAGGAACAGCAGCAGCAGGAGGAAACAGCAGCAGCAGGAGGAACAGCAGCAGCAGAAGCAGCAGGAGGAACAGCAGCAGCAGGAGGAACAGCAGCAGCAGGAGGAACAGCAGCAGCAGGAGGAACAGCAGCAGCAGGAGGAAAGCAGCAGCAGCAGGCAGGAACAGCAGCAGCAGGAGGAACAGCAGCAGCAGGAGGAACAGCAGCAGCAGGAGGAACAGCAGCAGCAGGAGGAACAGGCAGAGGAACAGCAGCAGCAGGAGGAACAGCAGCAGCAGGAGGAACAGCAGGCGAAGCAGCAGGAGGAACAGCAGCAGCAGGAGGAACAGCAGCAGCAGGAGGAACAGCAGCAGCAGGAGGAACAGCAGCAGCAGGAGGAACAGCAGCAGCAGGAGGAACAGCAGCAGCAGGAGGAACAGCAGCAGCAGGAGAACAGCAGCAGCAGGAGGAACAGCAGCAGCAGGAGGAACAGCAGCAGCAGGAGGAACAGCAGCAGCAGGAGGAACAGCAGCAGCAGGAGGAACAGCAGCAGCAGGAGGAACAGCAGCAGCAGGAGGAACAGCAGCAGCAGGAAGGAACAGCAGCAGCAGGAGGAACAGCAGCAGCAGGAGGAACAGCAGCAGCAGGAGGAACAGCAGCAGCAGGAGGAACAGCAGCAGCAGGAGGAACAGCAGCAGCAGGAGGAACAGCAGCAGCAGGAGGAACAGCAGCAGCAGGAGGAACAGCAGCAGCAGGAGGAACAGCAGCAGCAGGAGGAACAGCAGCAGCAGGAGGAAACAGCAGCAGCAGGAGGAACAGCAGCAGCAGGAGGAACAGCAGCAGCAGGAGGAACAGCAGCAGCAGGAGGAACAGCAGCAGCAGGAGGAACAGCAGCAGCAGGAGGAACAGCAGCAGCAGGAGGAACAGCAGCAGCAGGAGGAACAGCAGCAGCAGGAGGAACAGCAGCAGCAGGAGGAACAGCAGCAGCAGGAGGAACAGCAGCAGCAGGAGGAACAGCAGCAGCAGGAGGAACAGCAGCAGCAGGAGGAACAGCAGCAGCAGGAGGAACAGCAGCAGCAGGAGGAACAGCAGCAGCAGGAGGAACAGCAGCAGCAGGAGGAACAGCAGCAGCAGGAGGAACAGCAAGCAGCAGGAGGAACAGCAGCAGCAGGAGGAACAGCAGCAGCAGGAGGAACAAGCAGCAGCAGGAGGAACAGCAGCAGCAGGAGGAACAGCAGCAGCAGGAGGAACAGCAGCAGCAGGAGGAACAGCAGCAGCAGGAGGAACAGCAGCAGCAGGAGGAACAGCAGCAGCAGGAGGAACAGCAGCAGCAGGAGGAACAGCAGCAGCAGGAGGAACAGCAGCAGCAGGAGGAACAGCAGCAGCAGGAGGAAACAGCAGCAGCAGGAGGAACAGCAGCAGCAGGAGGAACAGCAGCAGCAGGAGGAACAGCAGCAGCAGGAGGAACAGCAGCAGCAGGAGGAACAGCAGCAGCAGGAGGAACAGCAGCAGCAGGAGGAACAGCAGCAGCAGGAGGAACAGCAGCAGCAGGAGGAACAGCAGCAGCAGGAGGAACAGCAGCAGCAGGAGGAACAGCAGCAGCAGGAGGAACAGCAGCAGCAGGAGGAACAGCAGCAGCAGGAGGAACAGCAGCAGCAGGAGGAACAGCAGCAGCAGGAGGAACAGCAGCAGCAGGAGGAACAGCAGCAGCAGGAGGAACAGCAGCAGCAGGAGGAACAGCAGCAGCAGGAGGAACAGCAGCAGCAGGAGGAACAGCAGCAGCAGGAGGAACAGCAGCAGCAGGAGGAACAGCAGCAGCAGGAGGAACAGCAGCAGCAGGAGGAACAGCAGCAGCAGGAGGAACAGCAGCAGCAGGAGGAACAGCAGCAGCAGGAGGAACAGCAGCAGCAGGAGGAACAGCAGCAGCAGGAGGAACAGCAGCAGCAGGAGGAACAGCAGCAGCAGGAGGAACAGCAGCAGCAGGAGGAACAGCAGCAGCAGGAGGAACAGCAGCAGCAGGAGGAACAGCAGCAGCAGGAGGAACAGCAGCAGCAGGAGGAACAGCAGCAGCAGGAGGAACAGCAGCAGCAGGAGGAACAGCAGCAGCAGGAGGAACAGCAGCAGCAGGAGGAACAGCAGCAGCAGGAGGAACAGCAGCAGCAGGAGGAACAGCAGCAGCAGGAGGAACAGCAGCAGCAGGAGGAACAGCAGCAGCAGGAGGAACAGCAGCAGCAGGAGGAACAGCAGCAGCAGGAGGAACAGCAGCAGCAGGAGGAACAGCAGCAGCAGGAGGAACAGCAGCAGCAGGAGGAACAGCAGCAGCAGGCAGGAACAGCAGCAGCAGGAGGAACAGCAGCAGCAGGAGGAACAGCAGCAGCAGGAGGAACAGCAGCAGCAGCAGCAGGAGAAACAGCAGCAGCAGGGAGGAACAGCAGCAGCAGGAGGAACAGGCAGCAGGACAGCAGCAGCAGAGAACAGCAAGCAGCAGGAGGAACTAGCAGGCTAGCAGGAGGAACAGCCAGCAGCAGGAGGAAACAGCAGCAGCAGGAGGAACAGCAGCAGCAGGAAGGAACAGCAGCAGCAGGAGGAACAGCAGCAGCAGGAGGAACAGCAGCAGCAGGAGGAACAGCAGCAGCAGGAGGAACAGCAGCAGCAGGAGGAACAGCAGCAGCAGAGCAGCAGGAGGAACAGCAGCAGCAGGAGGAACAAGGCACAGCAGAAAGCAGCAGCAGGAGGAACAGCAGCAGCAGGAGGAACAGCAGCAGCAGGAGGAACAGCAGCAGCAGAGGAACAGCAGCAGCAGGAGGAACAGCAGCAGCAGGAGGAACAGCAGCAGCAGGAGGAACAGCAGCAGCAGGAGGAACAGCAAGCAGCACGGAGGAACCAGCAGCAGCAGGAGGAACAGCAGCAGCAGGAGGACAGCAGCAGCAGGAGGAACAGCAGCAGCAGCGAGGAAACCAGCAGCAGCAGGAGGAACAGCAGCAGCAGGAGGAACAGCAGCAGCAGGAGGAACAGCAGCAGCAGGAGGAACAGCAGCAGCAGGAGGAACAGCAGCAGCAGGAGGAACAGCAGCAGCAGGAGGAACAGCAGCAGCAGGAGGAACAGCAGCAGCAGGAGGAACAGCAGCAGCAGGAGGAACAGCAGCAGCAGGAGGAACAGCAGCAGCAGGAGAACAGCAGCAGCAGGAGGAACAGCAGCAGCAGGAGGAACAGCAGCAGCAGGAGGAACAGCAGCAGCAGGAGGAACAGCAGCAGCAGGAGGAACAGCAGCAGCAGCAGCAGGAGGAACAGCAGCAGCAGGAGGAACAGCAGCAGCAGGAGGAACAGCAGCAGCAGGAGGAACAGCAGCAGCAGGAGGAACAGCAGCAGCAGGAGGAACAGCAGCAGCAGGAGGAACAGCAGCAGCAGGAGGAACAGCAGCAGCAGGAGGAACAGCAGCAGCAGGAGGAACAGCAGCAGCAGGAGGAACAGCAGCAGCAGGAGGAACAGCAGCAGCAGGAGGAACAGCAGCAGCAGGAGGAACAGCAGCAGCAGGAGGAACAGCAGCAGCAGGAGGAACAGCAGCAGCAGGAGGAACAGCAGCAGCAGGAGGAACAGCAGCAGCAGGAGGAACAGCAGCAGCAGGAGGAACAGCAGCAGCAGGAGGAACAGCAGCAGCAGGAGGAACAGCAGCAGCAGGAGGAACAGCAGCAGCAGGAGGAACAGCAGCAGCAGGAGGAACAGCAGCAGCAGGAGGAACAGCAGCAGCAGGAGGAACAGCAGCAGCAGGAGGAACAGCAGCAGCAGGAGGAACAGCAGCAGCAGGAGGAACAGCAGCAGCAGGAGGAACAGCAGCAGCAGGAGGAACAGCAGCAGCAGGAGGAACAGCAGCAGCAGGAGGAACAGCAGCAGCAGGAGGAACAGCAGCAGCAGGAGGAACAGCAGCAGCAGGAGGAACAGCAGCAGCAGGAGGAACAGCAGCAGCAGGAGGAACAGCAGCAGCAGGAGGAACAGGCAGCAGCAGCAGCAGGAGGAACAGCAGCAGCAGGAGGAACAGCAGCAGCAGGAGGAACAGCAGCAGCAGGAGGAACAGCAGCAGCAGGAGGAACAGCAGCAGCAGGAGGAACAGCAGCAGCAGGAGGAACAGCAGCAGCAGGAGGAACAGCAGCAGCAGGAGGAACAGCAGCAGCAGGAGGAACAGCAGCAGCAGGAGGAACAGCAGCAGCAGGAGGAACAGCAGCAGCAGGAGGAACAGCAGCAGCAGGAGGAACAGCAGCAGCAGGAGGAACAGCAGCAGCAGGAGGAACAGCAGCAGCAGGAGGAACAGCAGCAGCAGGAGGAACAGCAGCAGCAGGAGGAACAGCAGCAGCAGGAGGAACAGCAGCAGCAGGAGGAACAGCAGCAGCAGGAGGAACAGCAGCAGCAGGAGGAACAGCAGCAGCAGGAGGAACAGCAGCAGCAGGAGGAACAGCAGCAGCAGGAGGAACAGCAGCAGCAGCAGGAGGAACAGCAGCAGCAGGAGGAACAGCAGCAGCAGGAGGAACAGCAGCAGCAGGAGGAACAGCAGCAGCAGGAGGAACAGCAGCAGCAGGAGGAACAGCAGCAGCAGGAGGAAACAGCAGCAGCAGGAGGAACAGCAGCAGCAGGAGGAACAGCAGCAGCAGGAGGAACAGCAGCAGCAGCAGGAGGAACAGCAGCAGCAGGAGGAACAGCAGCAGCAGGAGGAACAGCAGCAGCAGGAGGAACAGCAGCAGCAGGAGGAACAGCAGCAGCAGGAGGAACAGCAGCAGCAGGAGGAACAGCAGCAGCAGGAGGAACAGCAGCAGCAGGAGGAACAGCAGCAGCAGGAGGAACAGCAGCAGCAGGAGGAACAGCAGCAGCAGGAGGAACAGCAGCAGCAGGAGGAACAGCAGCAGCAGGAGGAACAGCAGCAGCAGGAGGAACAGCAGCAGCAGGAGGAACAGCAGCAGCAGGAGGAACAGCAGCAGCAGGAGGAACAGCAGCAGCAGGAGGAACAGCAGCAGCAGGAGGAACAGCAGCAGCAGGAGGAACAGCAGCAGCAGGAGGAACAGCAGCAGCAGGAGGAACAGCAGCAGCAGGAGGAACAGCAGCAGAACAGCAGCAGCAGGAGGAACAGCAGCAGCAGGAGGAACAGCAGCAGCAGGAGGAACAGCAGCAGCAGGAGGAACAGCAGCAGCAGGAGGAACAGCAGCAGCAGGAGGAACAGCAGCAGCAGGAGGAACAGCAGCAGCAGCAGGAGGAACAGCAGCAGCAGCAGGAGGAACAGCAGCAGCAGGAGGAACAGCAGCAGCAGGAGGAACAGCAGCAGCAGGAGGAACAGCAGCAGCAGGAGGAACAGCAGCAGCAGGAGGAACAGCAGCAGCAGGAGGAACAGCAGCAGCAGGAGGAACAGCAGCAGCAGGAGGAACAGCAGCAGCAGGAGGAACAGCAGCAGCAGGAGGAACAGCAGCAGCAGGAGGAACAGCAGCAGCAGGAGGAACAGCAGCAGCAGGAGGAACAGCAGCAGCAGGAGGAACAGCAGCAGCAGGAGGAACAGCAGCAGCAGGAGGAACAGCAGCAGCAGGAGGAACAGCAGCAGCAGGAGGAACAGCAGCAGCAGGAGGAACAGCAGGAGGAACAGCAGCAGCAGGAGGAACAGCAGCAGCAGGAGGAACAGCAGCAGCAGGAGGAACAGCAGCAGCAGGAGGAACAGCAGCAGCAGGAGGAACAGCAGCAGCAGGAGGAACAGCAGCAGCAGGAGGAACAGCAGCAGCAGGAGGAACAGCAGCAGCAGGAGGAACAGCAGCAGCAGGAGGAACAGCAGCAGCAGGAGGAACAGCAGCAGCAGGAGGAACAGCAGCAGCAGGAGGAACAGCAGCAGCAGGAGGAACAGCAGCAGCAGGAGGAACAGCAGCAGCAGCAGGAGGAAACAGCAGCAGCAGGAGGAACAGCAGCAGCAGGAGGAACAGCAGCAGCAGGAGGAACAGCAGCAGCAGGAGGAACAGCAGCAGCAGGAGGAACAGCAGCAGCAGGAGGAACAGCAGCAGCAGGAGGAACAGCAGCAGCAGGAGGAACAGCAGCAGCAGGAGGAACAGCAGCAGCAGGAGGAACAGCAGCAGCAGCAGCAGGAGGAACAGCAGCAGCAGGAGGAACAGCAGCAGCAGGAGGAACAGCAGCAGCAGGAGGAACAGCAGCAGCAGGAGGAACAGCAGCAGCAGGAGGAACAGCAGCAGCAGGAGGAACAGCAGCAGCAGGAGGAACAGCAGCAGCAGGAGGAACAGCAGCAGCAGGAGGAACAGCAGCAGCAGGAGGAACAGCAGCAGCAGGAGGAACAGCAGCAGCAGGAGGAACAGCAGCAGCAGGAGGAACAGCAGCAGCAGGAGGAACAGCAGCAGCAGGAGGAACAGCAGCAGCAGGAGGAACAGCAGCAGCAGGAGGAACAGCAGCAGCAGGAGGAACAGCAGCAGCAGGAGGAACAGCAGCAGCAGGAGGAACAGCAGCAGCAGGAGGAACAGCAGCAGCAGGAGGAACAGCAGCAGCAGGAGGAACAGCAGCAGCAGGAGGAACAGCAGCAGCAGGAGGAACAGCAGCAGCAGGAGGAACAGCAGCAGCAGGAGGAACAGCAGCAGCAGGAGGAACAGCAGCAGCAGGAGGAACAGCAGCAGCAGGAGGAACAGCAGCAGCAGGAGGAACAGCAGCAGCAGGAGGAACAGCAGCAGCAGGAGGAACAGCAGCAGCAGGAGGAACAGCAGCAGCAGGAGGAACAGCAGCAGCAGGAGGAACAGCAGCAGCAGGAGGAACAGCAGCAGCAGGAGGAACAGCAGCAGCAGGAGGAACAGCAGCAGCAGGAGGAACAGCAGCAGCAGGAGGAACAGCAGCAGCAGGAGGAACAGCAGCAGCAGGAGGAACAGCAGCAGCAGGAGGAACAGCAGCAGCAGGAGGAACAGCAGCAGCAGGAGGAACAGCAGCAGCAGGAGGAACAGCAGCAGCAGGAGGAACAGCAGCAGCAGGAGGAACAGCAGCAGCAGGAGGAACAGCAGCAGCAGGAGGAACAGCAGCAGCAGGAGGAACAGCAGCAGCAGGAGGAACAGCAGCAGCAGGAGGAACAGCAGCAGCAGGAGGAACAGCAGCAGCAGGAGGAACAGCAGCAGCAGGAGGAACAGCAGCAGCAGGAGGAACAGCAGCAGCAGGAGGAACAGCAGCAGCAGGAGGAACAGCAGCAGCAGGAGGAACAGCAGCAGCAGGAGGAACAGCAGCAGCAGGAGGAACAGCAGCAGCAGGAGGAACAGCAGCAGCAGGAGGAACAGCAGCAGCAGGAGGAACAGCAGCAGCAGGAGGAACAGCAGCAGCAGGAGGAACAGCAGCAGCAGGAGGAACAGCAGCAGCAGGAGGAACAGCAGCAGCAGGAGGAACAGCAGCAGCAGGAGGAACAGCAGCAGCAGGAGGAACAGCAGCAGCAGGAGGAACAGCAGCAGCAGGAGGACAGCAGCAGCAGGAGGAACAGCAGCAGCAGGAGGAACAGCAGCAGCAGGAGGAACAGCAGCAGCAGGAGGAACAGCAGCAGCAGGAGGAACAGCAGCAGCAGGAGGAACAGCAGCAGCAGGAGGAACAGCAGCAGCAGGAGGAACAGCAGCAGCAGGAGGAACAGCAGCAGCAGGAGGAACAGCAGCAGCAGGAGGAACAGCAGCAGCAGGAGGAACAGCAGCAGCAGGAGGAACAGCAGCAGCAGCAGCAGGAGGAACAGCAGCAGCAGGAGGAACAGCAGCAGCAGGAGGAACAGCAGCAGCAGGAGGAACAGCAGCAGCAGGAGGAACAGCAGCAGCAGGAGGAACAGCAGCAGCAGGAGGAACAGCAGCAGCAGGAGGAACAGCAGCAGCAGGAGGAACAGCAGCAGCAGGAGGAACAGCAGCAGCAGGAGGAACAGCAGCAGCAGGAGGAACAGCAGCAGCAGGAGGAACAGCAGCAGCAGGAGGAACAGCAGCAGCAGGAGGAACAGCAGCAGCAGGAGGAACAGCAGCAGCAGGAGGAACAGCAGCAGCAGGAGGAACAGCAGCAGCAGAGGAACAGCAGCAGCAGGAGGAACAGCAGCAGCAGGAGGAACAGCAGCAGCAGGAGGAACAGCAGCAGCAGGAGGAACAGCAGCAGCAGGAGGAACAGCAGCAGCAGGAGGAACAGCAGCAGCAGGAGGAACAGCAGCAGCAGGAGGAACAGCAGCAGCAGGAGGAACAGCAGCAGCAGGAGGAACAGCAGCAGCAGGAGGAACAGCAGCAGCAGGAGGAACAGCAGCAGCAGGAGGAACAGCAGCAGCAGGAGGAACAGCAGCAGCAGGAGGAACAGCAGCAGCAGGAGGAACAGCAGCAGCAGGAGGAACAGCAGCAGCAGGAGGAACAGCAGCAGCAGGAGGAAACAGCAGCAGCAGGAGGAACAGCAGCAGCAGGAGGAACAGCAGCAGCAGGAGGAACAGCAGCAGCAGGAGGAACAGCAGCAGCAGGAGGAACAGCAGCAGCAGGAGGAACAGCAGCAGCAGGAGGAACAGCAGCAGCAGGAGGAACAGCAGCAGCAGGAGGAACAGCAGCAGCAGGAGGAACAGCAGCAGCAGGAGGAACAGCAGCAGCAGGAGGAACAGCAGCAGCAGGAGGAACAGCAGCAGCAGGAGGAACAGCAGCAGCAGGAGGAACAGCAGCAGCAGGAGGAACAGCAGCAGCAGGAGGAACAGCAGCAGCAGGAGGAACAGCAGCAGCAGGAGGAACAGCAGCAGCAGGAGGAACAGCAGCAGCAGCAGGAGGAACAGCAGCAGCAGGAGGAACAGCAGCAGCAGGAGGAACAGCAGCAGCAGGAGGAACAGCAGCAGCAGGAGGAACAGCAGCAGCAGGAGGAACAGCAGCAGCAGGAGGAACAGCAGCAGCAGGAGGAACAGCAGCAGCAGGAGGAACAGCAGCAGCAGGAGGAACAGCAGCAGCAGGAGGAACAGCAGCAGCAGGAGGAACAGCAGCAGCAGGAGGAACAGCAGCAGCAGGAGGAACAGCAGCAGCAGGAGGAACAGCAGCAGCAGGAGGAACAGCAGCAGCAGGAGGAACAGCAGCAGCAGGAGGAACAGCAGCAGCAGGAGGAACAGCAGCAGCAGGAGGAACAGCAGCAGCAGGAGGAACAGCAGCAGCAGGAGGAACAGCAGCAGCAGGAGGAACAGCAGCAGCAGAGCAGGCAGGAACAGCAGCAGCAGGAGGAACAGCAGCAGCAGGAGGAACAGCAGCAGCAGGAGGAACAGCAGCAGCAGGAGGAACAGCAGCAGCAGGAGGAACAGCAGCAGCAGGAGGAACAGCAGCAGCAGGAGGAACAGCAGCAGCAGGAGGAACAGCAGCAGCAGGAGGAACAGCAGCAGCAGGAGGAACAGCAGCAGCAGGAGGAACAGCAGCAGCAGGAGGAACAGCAGCAGCAGGAGGAACAGCAGCAGCAGGAGGAACAGCAGCAGCAGGAGGAACAGCAGCAGCAGGAGGAACAGCAGCAGCAGGAGGAACAGCAGCAGCAGGAGGAACAGCAGCAGCAGGAGGAACAGCAGCAGCAGGAGGAACAGCAGCAGCAGGAGGAACAGCAGCAGCAGGAGGAACAGCAGCAGCAGGAGGAACAGCAGCAGCAGGAGGAACAGCAGCAGCAGGAGGAACAGCAGCAGCAGGAGGAACAGCAGCAGCAGGAGGAACAGCAGCAGCAGGAGGAACAGCAGCAGCAGGAGGAACAGCAGCAGCAGGAGGAACAGCAGCAGCAGGAGGAACAGCAGCAGCAGGAGGAACAGCAGCAGCAGGAGGAACAGCAGCAGCAGGAGGAACAGCAGCAGCAGGAGGAACAGCAGCAGCAGGAGGAACAGCAGCAGCAGGAGGAACAGCAGCAGCAGGAGGAACAGCAGCAGCAGGAGGAACAGCAGCAGCAGGAGGAACAGCAGCAGCAGGAGGAACAGCAGCAGCAGGAGGAACAGCAGCAGCAGGAGGAACAGCAGCAGCAGGAGGAACAGCAGCAGCAGGAGGAACAGCAGCAGCAGGAGGAACAGCAGCAGCAGGAGGAACAGCAGCAGCAGGAGGAACAGCAGCAGCAGGAGGAACAGCAGCAGCAGGAGGAACAGCAGCAGCAGGAGGAACAGCAGCAGCAGGAGGAACAGCAGCAGCAGGAGGAACAGCAGCAGCAGGAGGAACAGCAGCAGCAGGAGGAACAGCAGCAGCAGGAGGAACAGCAGCAGCAGGAGGAACAGCAGCAGCAGGAGGAACAGCAGCAGCAGGAGGAACAGCAGCAGCAGGAGGAACAGCAGCAGCAGGAGGAACAGCAGCAGCAGGAGGAACAGCAGCAGCAGGAGGAACAGCAGCAGCAGGAGGAACAGCAGCAGCAGGAGGAACAGCAGCAGCAGGAGGAACAGCAGCAGCAGGAGGAACAGCAGCAGCAGGAGGAACAGCAGCAGCAGGAGGAACAGCAGCAGCAGGAGGAACAGCAGCAGCAGGAGGAACAGCAGCAGCAGGAGGAACAGCAGCAGCAGGAGGAACAGCAGCAGCAGGAGGAACAGCAGCAGCAGGAGGAACAGCAGCAGCAGGAGGAACAGCAGCAGCAGGAGGAACAGCAGCAGCAGGAGGAACAGCAGCAGCAGGAGGAACAGCAGCAGCAGGAGGAACAGCAGCAGCAGGAGGAACAGCAGCAGCAGGAGGAACAGCAGCAGCAGGAGGAACAGCAGCAGCAGGAGGAACAGCAGCAGCAGGAGGAACAGCAGCAGCAGGAGGAACAGCAGCAGCAGGAGGAACAGCAGCAGCAGGAGGAACAGCAGCAGCAGGAGGAACAGCAGCAGCAGGAGGAACAGCAGCAGCAGGAGGAACAGCAGCAGCAGGAGGAACAGCAGCAGCAGGAGGAACAGCAGCAGCAGGAGGAACAGCAGCAGCAGCAGGAGGAACAGCAGCAGCAGGAGGAACAGCAGCAGCAGGAGGAACAGCAGCAGCAGGAGGAACAGCAGCAGCAGGAGGAACAGCAGCAGCAGGAGGAACAGCAGCAGCAGGAGGAACAGCAGCAGCAGGAGGAACAGCAGCAGCAGGAGGAACAGCAGCAGCAGGAGGAACAGCAGCAGCAGGAGGAACAGCAGCAGCAGGAGGAACAGCAGCAGCAGGAGGAACAGCAGCAGCAGGAGGAACAGCAGCAGCAGGAGGAACAGCAGCAGCAGGAGGAACAGCAGCAGCAGGAGGAACAGCAGCAGCAGGAGGAACAGCAGCAGCAGGAGGAACAGCAGCAGCAGGAGGAACAGCAGCAGCAGGAGGAACAGCAGCAGCAGGAGGAACAGCAGCAGCAGGAGGAACAGCAGCAGCAGGAGGAACAGCAGCAGCAGGAGGAACAGCAGCAGCAGGAGGAACAGCAGCAGCAGGAGGAACAGCAGCAGCAGGAGGAACAGCAGCAGCAGGAGGAACAGCAGCAGCAGGAGGAACAGCAGCAGCAGGAGGAACAGCAGCAGCAGGAGGAACAGCAGCAGCAGGAGGAACAGCAGCAGCAGGAGGAACAGCAGCAGCAGGAGGAACAGCAGCAGCAGGAGGAACAGCAGCAGCAGGAGGAACAGCAGCAGCAGGAGGAACAGCAGCAGCAGGAGGAACAGCAGCAGCAGGAGGAACAGCAGCAGCAGGAGGAACAGCAGCAGCAGGAGGAACAGCAGCAGCAGGAGGAACAGCAGCAGCAGGAGGAACAGCAGCAGCAGGAGGAACAGCAGCAGCAGGAGGAACAGCAGCAGCAGGAGGAACAGCAGCAGCAGGAGGAACAGCAGCAGCAGGAGGAACAGCAGCAGCAGGAGGAACAGCAGCAGCAGGAGGAACAGCAGCAGCAGGAGGAACAGCAGCAGCAGGAGGAACAGCAGCAGCAGGAGGAACAGCAGCAGCAGGAGGAACAGCAGCAGCAGGAGGAACAGCAGCAGCAGGAGGAACAGCAGCAGCAGGAGGAACAGCAGCAGCAGGAGGAACAGCAGCAGCAGGAGGAACAGCAGCAGCAGCAGCAGGAGGAACAGCAGCAGCAGGAGGAACAGCAGCAGCAGGAGGAACAGCAGCAGCAGGAGGAACAGCAGCAGCAGGAGGAACAGCAGCAGCAGGAGGAACAGCAGCAGCAGGAGGAACAGCAGCAGCAGGAGGAACAGCAGCAGCAGGAGGAACAGCAGCAGCAGGAGGAACAGCAGCAGCAGGAGGAACAGCAGCAGCAGGAGGAACAGCAGCAGCAGGAGGAACAGCAGCAGCAGGAGGAACAGCAGCAGCAGGAGGAACAGCAGCAGCAGGAGGAACAGCAGCAGCAGGAGGAACAGCAGCAGCAGGAGGAACAGCAGCAGCAGGAGGAACAGCAGCAGCAGGAGGAACAGCAGCAGCAGCAGCAGGAGGAACAGCAGCAGCAGGAGGAACAGCAGCAGCAGGAGGAACAGCAGCAGCAGGAGGAACAGCAGCAGCAGGAGGAACAGCAGCAGCAGGAGGAACAGCAGCAGCAGGAGGAACAGCAGCAGCAGGAGGAACAGCAGCAGCAGGAGGAACAGCAGCAGCAGGAGGAACAGCAGCAGCAGGAGGAACAGCAGCAGCAGCAGCAGGAGGAACAGCAGCAGCAGGAGGAACAGCAGCAGCAGGAGGAACAGCAGCAGCAGGAGGAACAGCCAGCAGCAGGAGGAACAGCAGCAGCAGGAGGAACAGCAGCAGCAGGAGGAACAGCAGCAGCAGGAGGAACAGCAGCAGCAGGAGGAACAGCAGCAGCAGGAGGAACAGCAGCAGCAGGAGGAACAGCAGCAGCAGGAGGAACAGCAGCAGCAGGAGGAACAGCAGCAGCAGGAGGAACAGCAGCAGCAGGAGGAACAGCAGCAGCAGGAGGAACAGCAGCAGCAGGAGGAACAGCAGCAGCAGGAGGAACAGCAGCAGCAGGAGGAACAGCAGCAGCAGGAGGAACAGCAGCAGCAGGAGGAACAGCAGCAGCAGGAGGAACAGCAGCAGCAGGAGGAACAGCAGCAGCAGGAGGAACAGCAGCAGCAGGAGGAACAGCAGCAGCAGGAGGAACAGCAGCAGCAGGAGGAACAGCAGCAGCAGGAGGAACAGCAGCAGCAGGAGGAACAGCAGCAGCAGGAGGAACAGCAGCAGCAGGAGGAACAGCAGGAGGAACAGCAGCAGCAGGAGGAACAGCAGCAGCAGGAGGAACAGCAGCAGCAGGAGGAACAGCAGCAGCAGGAGGAACAGCAGCAGCAGGAGGAACAGCAGCAGCAGGAGGAACAGCAGCAGCAGGAGGAACAGCAGCAGCAGGAGGAACAGCAGCAGCAGGAGGAACAGCAGCAGCAGGAGGAACAGCAGCAGCAGGAGGAACAGCAGCAGCAGGAGGAACAGCAGCAGCAGGAGGAACAGCAGCAGCAGGAGGAACAGCAGCAGCAGGAGGAACAGCAGCAGCAGGAGGAACAGCAGCAGCAGGAGGAACAGCAGCAGCAGGAGGAACAGCAGCAGCAGGAGGAACAGCAGCAGCAGGAGGAACAGCAGCAGCAGGAGGAACAGCAGCAGCAGGAGGAACAGCAGCAGCAGGAGGAACAGCAGCAGCAGGAGGAACAGCAGCAGCAGGAGGAACAGCAGCAGCAGGAGGAACAGCAGCAGCAGGAGGAACAGCAGCAGCAGGAGGAACAGCAGCAGCAGGAGGAACAGCAGCAGCAGGAGGAACAGCAGCAGCAGGAGGAACAGCAGCAGCAGGAGGAACAGCAGCAGCAGGAGGAACAGCAGCAGCAGGAGGAACAGCAGCAGCAGGAGGAACAGCAGCAGCAGGAGGAACAGCAGCAGCAGGAGGAACAGCAGCAGCAGGAGGAACAGCAGCAGCAGGAGGAACAGCAGCAGCAGGAGGAACAGCAGCAGCAGGAGGAACAGCAGCAGCAGGAGGAACAGCAGCAGCAGGAGGAACAGCAGCAGCAGGAGGAACAGCAGCAGCAGGAGGAACAGCAGCAGCAGGAGGAACAGCAGCAGCAGGAGGAACAGCAGCAGCAGGAGGAACAGCAGCAGCAGGAGGAACAGCAGCAGCAGGAGGAACAGCAGCAGCAGGAGGAACAGCAGCAGCAGGAGGAACAGCAGCAGCAGGAGGAACAGCAGCAGCAGGAGGAACAGCAGCAGCAGGAGGAACAGCAGCAGCAGGAGGAACAGCAGCAGCAGGAGGAACAGCAGCAGCAGGAGGAACAGCAGCAGCAGGAGGAACAGCAGCAGCAGGAGGAACAGCAGCAGCAGGAGGAACAGCAGCAGCAGGAGGAACAGCAGCAGCAGGAGGAACAGCAGCAGCAGGAGGAACAGCAGCAGCAGGAGGAACAGCAGCAGCAGGAGGAACAGCAGCAGCAGGAGGAACAGCAGCAGCAGGAGGAACAGCAGCAGCAGGAGGAACAGCAGCAGCAGGAGGAACAGCAGCAGCAGGAGGAACAGCAGCAGCAGGAGGAACAGCAGCAGCAGGAGGAACAGCAGCAGCAGGAGGAACAGCAGCAGCAGGAGGAACAGCAGCAGCAGGAGGAACAGCAGCAGCAGGAGGAACAGCAGCAGCAGGAGGAACAGCAGCAGCAGGAGGAACAGCAGCAGCAGGAGGAACAGCAGCAGCAGGAGGAACAGCAGCAGCAGGAGGAACAGCAGCAGCAGGAGGAACAGCAGCAGCAGGAGGAACAGCAGCAGCAGGAGGAACAGCAGCAGCAGGAGGAACAGCAGCAGCAGGAGGAACAGCAGCAGCAGGAGGAACAGCAGCAGCAGGAGGAACAGCAGCAGCAGGAGGAACAGCAGCAGCAGGAGGAACAGCAGCAGCAGGAGGAACAGCAGCAGCAGGAGGAACAGCAGCAGCAGGAGGAACAGCAGCAGCAGGAGGAACAGCAGCAGCAGGAGGAACAGCAGCAGCAGGAGGAACAGCAGCAGCAGGAGGAACAGCAGCAGCAGGAGGAACAGCAGCAGCAGGAGGAACAGCAGCAGCAGGAGGAACAGCAGCAGCAGGAGGAACAGCAGCAGCAGGAGGAACAGCAGCAGCAGGAGGAACAGCAGCAGCAGGAGGAACAGCAGCAGCAGGAGGAACAGCAGCAGCAGGAGGAACAGCAGCAGCAGGAGGAACAGCAGCAGCAGGAGGAACAGCAGCAGCAGGAGGAACAGCAGCAGCAGGAGGAACAGCAGCAGCAGGAGGAACAGCAGCAGCAGGAGGAACAGCAGCAGCAGGAGGAACAGCAGCAGCAGGGAGGAGGAACAGCAGCAGCAGCAGCAGGAGGAACAGCAGCAGCAGGAGGAGGAGGAACAGCAGCAGCAGGAGGAGGAGGAACAGCAGCAGCAGCAGCAGGAGGAACAGCAGCAGCAGGAGAGGAGGAACAGCAGCAGCAGGAGGAGGAGGAACAGCAGCAGCAGGAGGACAGCAGGAGGAACAGCAGCAGCAGGAGGAACAGCAGCAGCAGGAGGAACAGCAGCAGCAGGAGGAACAGCAGCAGCAGGAGGAACAGCAGCAGCAGGAGGAACAGCAGCAGCAGGAGGAACAGCAGCAGCAGGAGGAACAGCAGCAGCAGGAGGAACAGCAGCAGCAGGAGGAACAGCAGCAGCAGGAGGAACAGCAGCAGCAGGAGGAACAGCAGCAGCAGGAGGAACAGCAGCAGCAGGAGGAACAGCAGCAGCAGGAGGAACAGCAGCAGCAGGAGGAACAGCAGCAGCAGGAGGAACAGCAGCAGCAGGAGGAACAGCAGCAGCAGGAGGAACAGCAGCAGCAGGAGGAACAGCAGCAGCAGGAGGAACAGCAGCAGCAGGAGGAACAGCAGCAGCAGGAGGAACAGCAGCAGCAGGAGGAACAGCAGCAGCAGGAGGAACAGCAGCAGCAGGAGGAACAGCAGCAGCAGGAGGAACAGCAGCAGCAGGAGGAACAGCAGCAGCAGGAGGAACAGCAGCAGCAGGAGGAACAGCAGCAGCAGGAGGAACAGCAGCAGCAGGAGGAACAGCAGCAGCAGGAGGAACAGCAGCAGCAGGAGGAACAGCAGCAGCAGGAGAACAGCAGCAGCAGCAGGAGGAACAGCAGCAGCAGGAGGAACAGCAGCAGCAGGAGGAACAGCAGCAGCAGGAGGAACAGCAGCAGCAGGAGGAACAGCAGCAGCAGGAGGAACAGCAGCAGCAGGAGGAACAGCAGCAGCAGCAGCAGGAGGAACAGCAGCAGCAGGAGGAGGAGGAACAGCAGCAGCAGCAGCAGGAGGAACAGCAGCAGCAGGAGGAGGAGGAACAGCAGCAGCAGCAGCAGGAGGAACAGCAGCAGCAGGAGGAGGAGGAACAGCAGCAGCAGGAGGAGGAGGAACAGCAGCAGCAGCAGCAGGAGGAACAGCAGCAGCAGGAGGAGGAGGAACAGCAGCAGCAGGAGGAGGAGGAACAGCAGCAGCAGCAGCAGGAGGAACAGCAGCAGCAGCAGCAGGAGGAACAGCAGCAGCAGGAGGAGGAGGAACAGCAGCAGCAGCAGCAGGAGGAACAGCAGCAGCAGGAGGAGGAGGAACAGCAGCAGCAGGAGGAGGAGGAACAGCAGCAGCAGCAGCAGGAGGAACAGCAGCAGCAGGAGGAGGAGGAACAGCAGCAGCAGGAGGAGGAGGAACAGCAGCAGCAGCAGCAGGAGGAACAGCAGCAGCAGGAGGAGGAGGAACAGCAGCAGCAGGAGGAGGAGGAACAGCAGCAGCAGGAGGAGGAACAGCAGCAGCAGGAGGAGGAACAGCAGCAGCAGGAGGAGGAGGAACAGCAGCAGCAGGAGGAGGAACAGCAGCAGCAGGAGGAGGAGGAACAGCAGCAGCAGGAGGAGGAACAACAGCAGCAGGAGGAGGATGAACAGCAGCAGCAGGAGGAGGAACAGCAGCAGCAGGAGGAGGAACAGCAGCAGCAGGAGGAGGAGGAACAGAAGCAGCAGCAGCAGGAGGAACAGCAGCAGCAGGAGGAGGAGGAACAGCAGCAGCAGGAGGAGGAACAGCAGCAGCAGGAGGAGGAACAGCAGCAGCAGGAGGAGGAACAGCAGCAGCAGGAGGAGGAACAGCAGCAGCAGGAGGAGGAGGAACAGCAGCAGCAGGAGGAGGAACAGCAGCAGCAGGAGGAGGAACAGCAGCAGCAGGAGGAGGAACAGCAGCAGCAGGAGGAGGAACAGCAGCAGCAGGAGGAGGAGGAACAGCAGCAGCAGGAGGAACAGCAGCAGCAGGAGGAACAGCAGCAGCAGGAGGAGGAGGAACAGCAGCAGCAGGAGGAACAGCAGCAGCAGGAGGAGGAGGAACAGCAGCAGCAGGAGGAGGAGGAACAGCAGCAGCAGCAGCAGGAGGAACAGCAGCAGCAGGAGGAACAGCAGCAGCAGGAGGAGGAGGAACAGCAGCAGCAGGAGGAACAGCAGCAGCAGGAGGAGGAGGAACAGCAGCAGCAGCAGCAGGAGGAACAGCAGCAGCAGCAGCAGCAGGAGGAACAGCAGCAGCAGGAGGAGGAGGAACAGCAGCAGCAGCAGCAGGAGGAACAGCAGCAGCAGGAGGAGGAGGAACAGCAGCAGCAGGAGGAGGAGGAACAGCAGCAGCAGCAGCAGGAGGAACAGCAGCAGCAGGAGGAACAGCAGCAGCAGGAGGAACAGCAGCAGCAGGAGGAACAGCAGCAGCAGGAGGAACAGCAGCAGCAGGAGGAACAGCAGCAGCAGGAGGAACAGCAGCAGCAGGAGGAACAGCAGCAGCAGGAGGAACAGCAGCAGCAGGAGGAACAGCAGCAGCAGGAGGAACAGCAGCAGCAGGAGGAACAGCAGCAGCAGGAGGAACAGCAGCAGCAGGAGGAACAGCAGCAGCAGGAGGAACAGCAGCAGCAGGAGGAACAGCAGCAGCAGGAGGAACAGCAGCAGCAGGAGGAACAGCAGCAGCAGGAGGAACAGCAGCAGCAGGAGGAACAGCAGCAGCAGGAGGAACAGCAGCAGCAGGAGGAACAGCAGCAGCAGGAGGAACAGCAGCAGCAGGAGGAACAGCAGCAGCAGGAGGAACAGCAGCAGCAGGAGGAACAGCAGCAGCAGGAGGAACAGCAGCAGCAGGAGGAACAGCAGCAGCAGGAGGAACAGCAGCAGCAGGAGGAACAGCAGCAGCAGGAGGAACAGCAGCAGCAGGAGGAACAGCAGCAGCAGGAGGAACAGCAGCAGCAGGAGGAACAGCAGCAGCAGGAGGAACAGCAGCAGCAGGAGGAGGAGGAACAGCAGCAGCAGCAGCAAGAGGAACAGCAGCAGCAGGAGGAGGAGGAACAGCAGCAGCAGGAGGAGGAGGAACAGCAGCAGCAGGAGGAACAGCAGCAGCAGGAGGAGGAGGAACAGCAGCAGCAGGAGGAGGAGGAACAGCAGCAGCAGGAGGAACAGCAGCAGCAGGAGGAGGAGGAACAGCAGCAGCAGGAGGAGGAGGAACAGCAGCAGCAGGAGGAACAGCAGCAGCAGGAGGAGGAGGAACAGCAGCAGCAGGAGGAGGAGGAACAGCAGCAGCAGGAGGAACAGCAGCAGCAGGAGGAGGAGGAACAGCAGCAGCAGGAGGAACAGCAGCAGCAGGAGGAGGAGGAACAGCAGCAGCAGGAGGAGGAGGAACAGCAGCAGCAGCAGGAGGAGGAACAGCAGCAGCAGGAGGAGGAGGAACAGCAGCAGCAGCAGCAGGAGGAACAGCAGCAGCAGGAGGAGGAGGAACAGCAGCAGCAGGAGGAGGAGGAACAGCAGCAGCAGGAGGAGGAGGAACAGCAGCAGCAGGAGGAACAGCAGCAGCAGGAGGAGGAGGAACAGCAGCAGCAGGAGGAACAGCAGCAGCAAGAGGAGGAGGAACAGCAGCAGCAGGAGGAACAGCAGCAGCAGGAGGAGGAGGAACAGCAGCAGCAGGAGGAGGAGGAACAGCAGCAGCAGCAGCAGGAGGAACAGCAGCAGCAGGAGGAGGAGGAACAGCAGCAGCAGGAGGAGGAGGAACAGCAGCAGCAGCAGCAGGAGGAACAGCAGCAGCAGGAGGAACAGCAGCAGCAGGAGGAGGAGGAACAGCAGCAGCAGGAGGAACAGCAGCAGCAGGAGGAGGAGGAACAGCAGCAGCAGCAGCAGGAGGAACAGCAGCAGCAGGAGGAGGAGGAACAGCAGCAGCAGGAGGAGGAGGAACAGCAGCAGCAGCAGCAGGAGGAACAGCAGCAGCAGGAGGAGGAGGAACAGCAGCAGCAGGAGGAACAGCAGCAGCAGGAGGAGGAGGAACAGCAGCAGCAGGAGGAGGAGGAACAGCAGCAGCAGCAGCAGGAGGAACAGCAGCAGCAGGAGGAACAGCAGCAGCAGGAGGAGGAGGAACAGCAGCAGCAGGAGCAGGAGGAACAGCAGCAGCAGGAGGAGGAGGAACAGCAGCAGCAGCAGCAGGAGGAACAGCAGCAGCAGCAGCAGGAGGAACAGCAGCAGCAGGAGGAGGAGGAACAGCAGCAGCAGCAGCAGGAGGAACAGCAGCAGCAGGAGGAGGAGGAACAGCAGCAGCAGCAGCAGCAGGAGGAACAGCAGCAGCAGGAGGAGGAGGAACAGCAGCAGCAGGAGGAGGAGGAACAGCAGCAGCAGCAGCAGGAGGAACAGCAGCAGCAGGTGGAGGAGGAACAGCAGCAGCAGGAGGAGGAGGAACAGCAGCAGCAGCAGCAGGAGGAACAGCAGCAGCAGCAGCAGGAGGAACAGCAGCAGCAGGAGGAGGAGGAACAGCAGCAGCAGGAGGAGGAGGAACAGCAGCAGCAGCAGCAGGAGGAACAGCAGCAGCAGGAGGAGGAGGAACAGCAGCAGCAGGAGGAGGAGGAACAGCAGCAGCAGCAGCAGGAGGAACAGCAGCAGCAGGAGGAGGAGGAACAGCAGCAGCAGGAGGAGGAGGAACAGCAGCAGCAGCAGCAGGAGGAACAGCAGCAGCAGCAGCAGGAGGAACAGCAGCAGCAGGAGGAGGAGGAACAGCAGCAGCAGCAGCAGGAGGAACAGCAGCAGCAGGAGGAGGAGGAACAGCAGCAGCAGGAGGAGGAGGAACAGCAGCAGCAGCAGCAGGAGGAACAGCAGCAGCAGGAGGAGGAGGAACAGCAGCAGCAGGAGGAGGAGGAACAGCAGCAGCAGCAGCAGGAGGAACAGCAGCAGCAGGAGGAGGAGGAACAGCAGCAGCAGGAGGAGGAGGAACAGCAGCAGCAGCAGCAGGAGGAACAGCAGCAGCAGGAGGAGGAGGAACAGCAGCAGCAGGAGGAGGAGGAACAGCAGCAGCAGCAGCAGGAGGAACAGCAGCAGCAGCAGCAGGAGGAACAGCAGCAGCAGGAGGAGGAGGAACAGCAGCAGCAGCAGCAGGAGGAACAGCAGCAGCAGGAGGAGGAGGAACAGCAGCAGCAGGAGGAGGAGGAACAGCAGCAGCAGCAGCAGGAGGAACAGCAGCAGCAGGAGGAGGAGGAACAGCAGCAGCAGGAGAAGGAGGAACAGCAGCAGCAGCAGCAGGAGGAACAGCAGCAGCAGGAGGAGGAGGAACAGCAGCAGCAGCAGCAGGAGGAACAGCAGCAGCAGGAGGAGGAGGAACAGCAGCAGCAGGAGGAGGAGGAACAGCAGCAGCAGCAGCAGGAGGAACAGCAGCAGCAGCAGCAGGAGGAACAGCAGCAGCAGCAGCAGGAGGAACAGCAGCAGCAGGAGGAGGAGGAACAGCAGCAGCAGGAGGAACAGCAGCAGCAGGAGGAGGAGGAACAGCAGCAGCAGGAGGAGGAGGAATAGCAGCAGCAGCAGCAGGAGGAACAGCAGCAGCAGGAGGAGGAGGAACAGCAGCAGCAGGAGGAGGAGGAACAGCAGCAGCAGGAGGAACAGCAGCAGCAGGAGGAGGAGGAACAGCAGCAGCAGGAGGAGGAGGAACAGCAGCAGCAGCAGCAGGAGGAACAGCAGCAGCAGGAGGAGGAGGAACAGCAGCAGCAGGAGGAGGAGGAACAGCAGCAGCAGCAGCAGCAGGAGGAACAGCAGCAGCAGCAGCAGCAGGAGGAACAGCAGCAGCAGGAGGAGGAGGAACAGCAGCAGCAGGAGGAACAGCAGCAGCAGGAGGAGGAGGAACAGCAGCAGCAGGAGGAGGAGGAACAGCAGCAGCAGGAGGAACAGCAGCAGCAGGAGGAGGAGGAACAGCAGCAGCAGGAGGAGGAGGAACAGCAGCAGCAGCAGCAGGAGGAACAGCAGCAGCAGGAGGAGGAGGAACAGCAGCAGCAGGAGGAGGAGGAACAGCAGCAGCAGCAGCAGCAGGAGGAACAGCAGCAGCAGCAGCAGCAGGAGGAACAGCAGCAGCAGGAGGAGGAGGAACAGCAGCAGCAGCAGCAGGAGGAACAGCAGCAGCAGGAGGAGGAGGAACAGCAGCAGCAGGAGGAGGAGGAACAGCAGCAGCAGCAGCAGGAGGAACAGCAGCAGCAGGAGGAGGAGGAACAGCAGCAGCAGCAGCAGGAGGAACAGCAGCAGCAGGAGGAGGAGGAACAGCAGCAGCAGGAGGAGGAGGAGGAACAGCAGC